GGCTGAAAATCAAATGCCAAACGTCAACGAGATTTGTTGCCCGTGCGGCGCATAAAACTCATTTCTCACTTTTACAACCTCTCGGAGGTGAGCGTTTGCTAATCTTCCGCCGGTCGGCCATCAATTGGCTTGCTTGGCCCCAAATCCCCGCATCCGAGTGGGCAGGTTACCCAAGTTATGAGTATGGAATTCAGAAGAGCTGTATATATTCTTACTATACTGCCTAATAAATTCCTACTCGGATTCAATCCCCATTCAAACACGTTGAGTCTGCTTTTATGAACCCCTCAATATTTTGGGTGTTACTTTTTACGAGTTTCCGTGTTAACAAATTGCTTCCATATATATCCATAGTTGGTTCTTTTTAGCTAATAAAATAAATATAGGCCGAGTGATGGCAATGAGCTATGGCTTTTTATACAGAAGAAACATAAATTAAAGCAATATAGAACTGCATATTTTGTGCTATTTAAAACACCGCTAAATTAAGTAATAAATGAAATAAATTTGTTGTGTTTAGAAGGTCAAAAAACAGATAAAGTTTTGGTGATTTTAATACACTGGAAAATATCAAAATATCATATGAAAATGACATACATGAATTTTGTACCTAACAAATATTGTTGCATACCTTTAGACAGCTTTTTAAGAGGTTTTAATACTGCAAGTCTCTAGAATACTTAATTTGTTGGCACACAAAGTACGCAAAAAGTTTGTAGCCACCAAACTTATTATCTAAAGAAACACACCCCTGTTCATACTAGTTTTTACTAGTCAGCTCGGCTAAGAGAAAGTATTTTATTGTTTGGTTTTTGTTGCGGCGCTTGTCCGCTTGCTTTCCGAGCACTGCACTTGTCCGTCCTCATTTTCTTAAAAAGTTCGCTATAGCCTAATGGGAAAAAGATAGGTCAGCAGTGTACATAGTCTCGTATATATCTTAGCACACACTTGTCAAGGCTGATGATATATACAAGTACTAAACATACAGGCGAAATGGATAAATGGATTGAGCAAACATTGCGCTCTCTCGTGTGGAATTTGAAATACCGTAAGTAATTCATATGGCAAACACCTTTAGAGCGTAATGGAATCGTTTATATATTATTAATTGGCCTGCATGTCTTATTTCGTTTTCTGCGGGCTGTCATCACCTTTCGTTTTTCTGTTCGTTTCTTCTTCGTTTATTTCCATTGAAGAATTTCTCCCGGTTACCTTTGTCAGTCTTGTTTTTGGCAGACGAGAGTACGTGTTTCAAAATTCATTCATACACTGAGAGGAAAATAAATAGATGTGGCTGTTGTTTATCATATATCATACATTTTGATTTAGCTTTTGAGAAGGTTAAATATTGAATATTTAAGGTCTATGGAATGAAGACTTAAAAAAAATATTACTTTATCTTGTAATTAATTTAAGTTAACCAAAAAGAATTCTCAATGTTTGAGAATTTTAAATTAAATTAAATTAAAAATACCTAAAAAAAAACTGCATAAGCAATTAAATTAATTTTAAATTTCCTTTAGTTAAGGCCATAGTTTTAAAATCAATTGAAATGGTGCCAATAAGTATGCTACAAAATGTTACAAGCTAATACATATATTTCATTTCATCGCAGATTGCAAATCTTTAGACATTTCTTTGACACCAGTGAACATATTTTTGTTTTTAAGAGTTTCAAATATGTTTCAGTATCACATATTTTATAGAAAATCACTCACAGATAGGTGTTTTTTTATATTATGAAAATTCTGGTGATATTGTTTTGTTTTTCGCTCCGTGTACCTCTGTGATAGATGGACTACTTATATGTATAGAACGCCGGGGAATGCAAATGGATGTGTGGTAATGGGATGTTCATATGTATTTTCGAGTGCTTCCCGGCCAACGTTGCCTCGGTCGATTATAGTTCTGTTTTCTGATCCCATTTAATGCCTGGAATTTGTAAGTAATTTACCAAACGACACACTAAATTGGCTGGCGTAAAAAAAAGACATTCGGTTGGAAAGTTCTATGGCATTAAGGATATCTCTCTTGTGTGCCGCCCCGCGCATTCATGATTATTCCAAGTGGCCATAACGTGGAAGCGTGAGCGTAAACAAACACAAAAATTTCATCGGCAGAGCAGAGATAAACGGTGGCGGCGGCAGCGGCGGAGGAGACGAGAATCATATACGAATATATATGCGACAAAAGCGGCAAAAGGCATTAAATGAAGCCAAACACAGAGGAACTGCTCGTGGTGACAAATATAACAATAATAACAACGACAACAACACACACCGTGGCATATGCTGCTATGATTCCGAAATAGCGCGCTGAGCGGATGGCATTACGTATACGTACTGGTGTACGAGAGGTCGCGTTCCGTTAGACTAGCGTCCGCAGCGCATGGAATACCGTTACAAACTGACGCAGGCCACAAGCTCGGAAATCCTTTTTGGTCGCTGCTGCTGCTGCTGCCTCTGTCTCTGCCTCAGTCGGCGTCGCAGCTAGCCTCTCTCTCTGGCTCTCAGCATGTGTCGCCAAATGCTGTGAAAAGCAAAACAAAGAGCGATGGCCGCATCAGCTGATTGCCCCGTTCCATTGCCATTTAACGTTCACTTCGCAGCGGAGGCTGCGCGCGTCTCTCCCGCTCTCCCACCCACGCACTGCGGCCGGCGCGCTGAAAGAGCACGAGGAGCACGGGACACAGCATCGATGGTAATCGTAAAAGATGCTAAGTTTGATAACGTCCCAACTGGTGTTTGCATTTCAAATTTATGATATGCATCTGAAAATTAAAACTTTAACGCGACACGACGCGGAATGCGAAAGATTGTTCAGAGAATGTGATTAAAGAGGCAACAAAAAAGAAGCTGGTAGTGTCGGAGATTGTTCATATCTATAAAGTGAGCCATGAACATTGTGTGCTAGAGAAATTTATACAGATTTTAAATCAAGTATGCAACCAAATCTATCTTATTTGTGCTTACAAGACTTCTTTTTATGAGTATGAAATGTAAACTTTCTTAAATTGTAGCCTACCGTCACTATAAGTTTGCAACTTTTGCTACAAGGACCTTTAATTTCAAATCAAAATCCTAGCAATTAAGTGGTACGGCTTGATAAGTCGGTAGGAAGCCTCCTTTTCCTGCCTGTACAGATAAAAAAATCAATTGATTTCAATTATATCATTGAACCCTTTGATACCTTGTTATTAAAATATCAAATTCTCTAGCGAATTGTGAAAAAAATTATCTTTTAAATCTGATAAAAATTTAAACCTTTTTGAAGCAAATAAAATCCAATTACTAATAAATAAGAATATTAAAATAACTAGAAAATTAAATGTAAATGCTAATACCAAAAAACTTGACTTTATTTTTAATTATTCGGAAATACTACTCACTTACACTCAACAGCTTTGTTTTGGTTCCTTTGTTGTGTATTGATTATTTTGGTCGGTTCCATGGCCTTTATGGGTGCCATATACGCCGTATACGTATTGTCCGAACGCCGCCAAGCCCTCAGTTCAGTTCAGGCCACTCAATGTGATTTGGGGCTGCGGCCTCGAGGGGATTTTGTAGCTGAAATTCACGAAACCAAAAATTAGGGCTGTCCCCAGCTACTTCACGGTGACCCGGTTTTAGGTTTTAGGTTTTAGGTTCTTTCGGTTTTAGGGTTCTCGGTAGCTTTAAGTTTAATGGCAATTAAGGTCCTGGGCAGGCAACCCGCCATTAGTGATTACGGAATGTTGGGGCCACCTCACTTCAGATTCAGTTAGCGAAGGTGCGTGCGGTACAAGTTTCCGGTGCAGCCTGGGTAAACTTCTCTGCATTTCATGAATACAAACAAGGCGGACAAGCAGAAGATTCATTCAGATACTAATCTCCCACGGACATGTCTCCTTGAACTGACTGTGGAAATGCGAATTGCTTCCGATACACGTCGATTCAGTTACGGGTTAGTTAGTCCGTCGTCCGGACCCGTAGATTAGTTGTTCGTAAGACCTCAGTTTTATTGGTAACTCTTTAAGACGGAGAATGTAATATAAGATTAACTTTAAAGGGTTAAAGCTTTAGATTCTTTAAGTTATTAAGCTATAGGGACCTTCTTCTTTACTTAATATTTGTAAAGGCTTCTAAAGTGATTTGTTTCTTAGATTCTACAGTGTCTTCTCAACGAAGCCTACCTGTACCCTGCATCACACTGTAACTATTGTTTACATTGTTGTCCAATATTGAATCCGCAGGACATGTTCAAATACTATCCTTGGGCACAAGTGCAGAATAGGAAAGCCGGCAAGTACAAAGTCCTAGGGCACTCGTGGATATCCGAAAGGTCGCGTGTGACTCGTCGTCGTTGTTCTTATTGGCATCCTCATCCGGTTCCGCGCTCTGTTTTGCATATTCCAGTGCTAATGGCCGGTTGGTCGCACGCCACTACACTCACCTGAATGGACGAATGTATGGTCAGGTGGGACCTATCCTTCGTGCTGGCATGCCATTTAAAAATATTCCATAAACATTTTGCTCAGTCCAGTATTTAAAAAATGGGTTGCATGCGAAATTTTTAGCAAACATCGCATCAAAGTTCAAAAGTGGCTAACTTAATTAATGTAATGTGTAGGGCAATAAAAGAATTTTGAGTGTTCTCGACTTGAGTTTAGAGAAAAATAACTGACAATTTAATTAATAGTTTTGAAAAGTGGCCAGAAATAGTGATACGCTTTAGTTTCCAAAGTTTCCCTTGATTGTGACCTATACTATTTGATAATATGTGAAGTTGCTCTTAAATTATATATAGGTTTAACAGAAAATAATTGAATATTTGCTTTATATTGAAAGGTTTTATTAGAAAGCCATTGGACTTTATCGTCTTTATAGCATTTAGACCCCTGTGAACATTAGTACATGCCATAGGGACTTACCTGACACTCTTGGCGTTAGCGATTATGAATTAGTGCAAACAATATAATTATTTAAACAGAAAATAATATCAAGGATGTAATTTAACAAGATAGTGCGGGAATAAAAAACTACAAAAATTAATAACCTGTAGGAGTAAAAAATCTAGGACTTTAACAGTCTTAAATGTTACTATATATTTTAAAGAACTGCGAGGGTCAATTATTATTACATTTATTTTTATACATTAAGAAAAACATGTTCTTTATATACATTCCTTCAAAAATTGATCTATGATTGTCATGTTCCTAAATAATTCACATAATTACACAATTGATAAAAATGTTCGTCAACTATCATTCAGACTCGTTCACTATTGACACCTCACAGTTGGAGATCGCTAAGTCCAAGTGACGAGTTAGGATCTTCCAGCAGAAAGTTGTCAAAGTCAATTATGATCTCTTTCTGTTTAGGCTGGTGTTTTTTGTAAGTCACGCCCACTGCGTCCAGCATCCGCTTGGAAGCCCTGTACTTGGGCTTTTCCGCATATTTATCGGATAAATAAAGAATCTGTGATATGCCCGACTGCAAGAACATGATTGAAAATAAATAAATAAGACAACCACAGAGATCTGATCATTACCTGTATGATGAGCTTGGTGCATTCGTTGCATGGGAAGAGTGTGGTATAGAGACGCGTTCCTGTCAAACTGGCTCCGTTGCTGTTGAGGATAGCGTTGGCCTCCGCATGCACCACATACATCGTCTTATCCTCCAGCGGATCATAATCATCAAGGCCCTTCTTTGCCTTCGACCAAGGGAACTCATCGTCGCTGCAGTTGCGGGGAAATCCATTATAGCCAATGGCCACTATCCGATTCTGCGAGTCCACGATGCAGGCTCCAACTTGAGTGACGGGATCCTTGCTGCGCTTCGCGGAGAGTATTGAGGTGGCCATGAAGTAGTCATCCCAATGCAGGTAGTCATTTCGCTTGTGGCTCTCAGGTGCCATTGCTTCGGAGGCATTGCCATTTTCAAGGTTGGGCTCTTCTACAGACATAATCACTGGAATAATTAAAGATAAGATTTATGAATGGTTAATATTTAAAAATATTTGGAAATTAAAAAAGTATAAATCATACATTTTTGTTAGGCTATTGCCACACTTCTTAATGATTTATATTATTAGAAGATGTTTCATTCAGTTGATTTTATTTTTATTTTACTCCCATGTTCCATTGATAACATACCATATATACTATGTGCAAATATGAATTTAGTTATAAGAAAAACTTGCTGTTGTGTTGGTACGTATATTTATTAACGATAAGGCTAATGATGGAATAATGGAATAAAACCGGTTTTTTAAAGCTGGATAAATGTCAATGTAAACGTTTGAATGTGAAAAAAGTGTGGAATATATACAAATTGAACAGAAACATTAATGGCAAGTTTTCACTATAATCATACAATAAAAACTATAGTTTAAAAGAAGCCCAGATTTAAATAAAATAGTAAATCATATATTTATTACATTTTCAGAGTTTTATTAATTTCATTTTGTTCTTTTTTCCTAACTTTTAGTGTCCAGTTTTTGTTGTGTGATGGGTAGGGGTATTTCGGATAGTCAAGGAAAGCAGGACAACTGTGTGCACGTTCTTTATTGCATTATATTAGACAAAACGATGACCGCAGCGGATTTTTTCAGCAGCAATAATAATATTTTATGTATCATAAATTGGAATATACAGCGAATACTTTCAATAATAATTTTCATATTCAACTCAATGTGTGGTTAGGCGAGTACGTAATTAAAACTAGAGGCGATCCCTCCGCCCGTCTAGGTGCTCTTCTGCACCTGTATGGGATTCTGCTTGAGGTGCAGGTAGATGGAGCGCATGCGGGAGACATCCTTGCCCGCCTTGTTAACCTTGGGATTGAAGTCGCAGAGCTTGGCTATGCGCTCCCATTCGGTGCCCGGCTCGATGCTGCCGTTTTCCAGCGTGGCTGCCTGCTTCTCGGCGTTGCGCGACGACAGCTTCGTCTTTGATATGGACTCGCCGATCTGGCGCAGCCAGTCGTCTAGCTCCTTCTTGGACTGCTGTCGGAGCTCCTCCTTTTTCCGCTCCTCCTCGAGATCCTTCTCCTCCAGTCGTTGTTTTTGCTCCTCGCGCCACTTGCGTATCTTCTCCGGCTCTTCCCGTGACGGAGGTGGTCCCGATATGCCTACTGGCTCATTGGACTCGCCGCCAATGACTTCAAAGCTGCCTGTGGATGATTCCAGGCCAGCGCCACCGGCGGACAATAGATCGTTGCCTAGCACATCGCCAGTGCTAGTACTGCCAGCGCCACCGCCCAGCAGCTCACCGAGGCCGCCATCGTCTGTGGTGGCAGCTGTAGCGGATCCAGATGCAGATCCGCCCGTTATCTCTGCCTCGAGATCCCCGAGAGCGGACTGTTCGCGCGCCAGGAACTCGGCCGCGGGATCAACCTCCTCCTTGGCAGCAAAGTCATCTCCGAAGTCCATGTCGATATGCTCTGCAAAGTGTGTTGTGATAGCAATTTAGTGGGCGTCTCACTCCAATTTACACGTACGCAGGGCAGTGGGCAGCAGTTGCAAGCTGTTTGCTCTCCGTTCGGGACTCCGTGCCAATACACACCTCTCGTTTGATTTGGTTAGATCTAAATGAAGATCGGTTTGGGCGGATGACTAACCGGAAGCTTGGACTTGCTAAAATGTATTTTTTCAGTTTTCTTTAGCAATGAATACGTAAAATGACTGTCATTAGTACGTGAACCAACAATAAAACAGCAGGTTATCGAACTGGATCCGGTTCCACAGTGTTGTATAACATGTAGACACAAATGAATGAATTTGTATTGTTAATTATTTAACAATGTTTATACATTTACTTTAAATATTGCAATAAGACAATAATATTAAATATATACTTAAAAAACTAATATTATAATTCAATGATTTTGGTTTCTAATTTACGCAAGACTTATGTACATAGTTGTATTAGATGGATAAATGAATGGACTTCAGTTTAACAATTTGCTTTTGTTACTACATATTCTTATAATATTTACAGTACAATATTTGTAAGCTCATTCTCTAAAAAACAATAATTTGCATTTATAATTCGTAATAAAAATTCACGATTTTTAAACTGCACCAAATGGACCACTGGGATACTTAAATAAACTAGTTCTACTGCCAGTGCTGGTTAATACGCGAGTAAAGTGCTTACAGCAGTGCGTTGATCGGAGCGATTAATTTGTTTATACTAAATAAAATGTGCCTTGATGAAACAAAATTGTATATAATGAATTAACTATTTGATCGAATTAAATGTGTGCACACAGTCCCGATAACTGCGGAATTGTACAACACTTGCAAAAATGGCGCAGAGCACGTGAAATGCGCATTTATTCACATGCCAATCTCTGAATTGTTTGGTTCATGCTTAAAAACCCGCGGATTTCTCACCTGTTTAAGGAGAAACACGGGACAACTATACTTTTTTTAAACACCAACGGAGGGCAAATCACAAAGACGGCAATACAAACAATAAACACTAGCAGCGCGAACCAACGAACTAGTTCCCGTTGGCATTATTCACCTGAGCCAGTGGTTCATTTTTCACTGGCAGCAGAGCGGCCATTTTGGAGATTGTTTCTTCCACAAAAAAGTTATGCACCGAAACTAAAAAAAACGTTGCGCCCGAAATTAAACATAAAATCCGCTCGTGCATTGGAGCGTGTGTGCAATCCGATGTGAAGAGAATGCTGGACCCAAGCAGCCCGACAGCAGTTCCGAATCTGTAACAACTAAAAGTTAGTGACTATCTTCCCAACACGCACGCATGTACACCCGTGTGTGCGCGCGAGTGTGTGTGTACGACAGTTTGTGTGCATGGATACATATGTATATGTACAGGCGGAAAATACGGAAAAAATGTCCCTAGCCAGAAAAACATTACGAAAACAGGCATAATTTGCTGCCAAAGTGCTTCCCCCGTAAAAATAAAGTCCTCGGTGCCGTATTGCAACAACGCAATTAACCCGCAGACGCCGGAGCTGGGCCGAGGCGGGTCAATTTCCAGCCGGAGCGCCAAGGCACAAAATACAGACGCCAAAAATTTCGAAGGGGGAACCAAGCGCATCGTGGCCAAAAGGGATACAAAAAAAAAGTAGGGGGAAACAATGAGTGCGAAAAAATGAAAGAAGGGGAAGAGAATTCCCTTTGAATTTGGCTTAAAATTAATTTATATTCAGCCTGGCGAGGATTTTGATGTAAATTATGAACATTTCAAAAAAGAAAATTAATAATAATAGTTATAATTGTAATATACAAATATTTTATTTTTTAATATACAAGGAACAAGTAAAAAAGTTGGTTTATAAATAAAGTAGCTAAATTACATTGCACAAAAAGTAAACATTTTAAAGTAATTAAAAAGTGTTTCGCATTTTGTTTAAACATTTAAAAAGGCCTTAAAATACTAGTATCAAATATCATCCTTTAAAGAAAAAGGTCAACTCTTCATTTAAAACAATTACAGACTGAATATAACAATAATCATAAGGGCTTTGTTGTTGTCTAAACAGTAAAAACCCAACTAATAGTCACATATTTACCTTTCAGTTAGCAGCCAGCGCAGCAGCAGTAGAAGCATCCAATATAAGCCATGGATCCCAACTCCAGTCCCTGGTCGTACGCCTACAACCGCATCGTGCCCGCCAGCGCTGGCAGCTCCGGCGGAACAGCGGAGGACTTCCAGCATCCGCATTTGGCCACCATAACCGCCGCTAGCATCGCCAGCTTTAATGCGGCAGCCGCCAGTGGCGGCAGCTTTGTGCCTCCGTCGCCAATCGGCAGCTATAATCCAGTATTCCAGCAGATCTATCATCATGCAGCGGCGGCCAGCGTTCAGCCGAAGCCCGCCCATTACGCCTCATCAGCGGTTAGCACGCCGCACCGCCAGCTGCAGCTGCCCAGTTCGCTGGACAAGCAGCTCAGCTCGTTCCAGAATCAGGCGGCGGTATCGGCAGCTGCAGCCGCTGTGGTCAACAATGTAGCCTCAAATTATTATGGAGAGAACTCCTCCTCGAGCGGTGCCTCGCCTTCGCCGACAACGGTGGCGCTAACGTCAACGTCGCTGACCTGGAATACGCCGAACATGATATCGAACACTTTCCTGGCCATGCAGCAGCAGCAGGCACAGCAGCAACAGCAACAGGCGCAGCAGCAACAGCAGCAGGCGCAACAACAGCAGCAGCAGGCACAGCAGCAGCAGCTTAATCTGGTGGCCGACAAAGTGGTGAGTAGAAGTTAAAGTAGCCGTAGCCTAGTCTTCCGTTCGACTCTTCCCTTCAATGAATCAGCAGCTTCTGGGGAAGCACCTACACCCATTAGTTTCTATCGCATCTATCGCATACTAACATCTCCCCCGAAAATCAACCCAAATCAAACCCATTTAAACTTAGGACTATGTCTTAGCCTCTCTCTTGTCGAACCAAACCCAAACCAAACACTTTCCGATTCCGATTCAATCCATGTATGGTGGCGCTGTGTAGCAGATTAAGCAGGAAAAGCAATTAAAAGCCTACAACGACTCGATTTACCTGATCCAATTGCAACAACAGCAGCAGCAGCACCAGCAGCTCCAGCAGCAGCAGCTGCAGCAGGAGATCACTGAAACAGAGTCGGAGACGGACACATATTACACGATCGATGGCCGGAAACTCAAGGTGACACGCAAGGATGGCCAGCCATTTCATGCGACAATCATCGAGCATCAGAGTGCCGGCGGTAGTCCAGTGCCATTGGCAGTGCCAGTTCCGGCCGGATCCTATCCGGCGCAGTATGCCAGTCCGGCATTGAGCTCCGCTGACGGATCACCCATCACGAATTTACATGCCGTGGACGTGGTCAGTACACCGCAGGCCCAGGTGATTGTCTATAAGACGGCGTCCCCGGTGCAGAGACGCTCAGAGGCAGGCGCTGGCTCGTCTGCTGCTGCTGCCGCTGCCACGACGCCCACCACTGTGGCCTACTCATCTGTGATACAAAGCACCCTGCAACAACAACAACAGCAGCAGCAGCAGCAGAACATATGCTGGACAAAGCTGGAAGAAGGAGGAGGAGGAGTAGCGGGGCAGGAAGACATCAAAAACGTGCTGCAGTTGCAGGTGGTGAAGCAGGAGCAACGCCATCTCGACTACGCAAGCGAGGCGGCATCCACAGTGGACGCCAGCGGCGAGAGTCTGGTGTTCAACCTTCCGCCCGGTCTGGAGATCAAGCAGACCTTCTATCCTGCGGGACTGCAGGTCGATGCAGGGGAGCATCTGCAGCAGCAACTGCAGGACCAAAGCCAATCCCAGTCAGCCGGGGGGCGGCGTCAGCACGTGGTGGCCAACATGATCATGTCGCCGGCGGCGTCGGGCAACTTAGCGTCACAGATTCAAGTAGTGCCAAAGGTTTGTATATCTCATTTTGTTTTATTTCCGTTCCTATTTGTTTATTTTTTATGTTTCATGTTTTCTATTTTAATTTTTTGCGTTTGTTAACTTATTGTTCTATATTTTCCAACTAGCTTTAATCCTCTGCCAAGCTATAGAAACTAATATCACTTGAACCCAACTATGTAGAGCCTTTTATCAGCTTTATTTCAAGTCCTTAGACAAATCAAATTTAGGAGCTATAGGTTAATAGGTTAGTTAATAAATTGATTTCAATCATCTAAAAACCATTAAAACAAGAATGAACGTAGGATAAAGTATTTCTGATAAAGCTGGAAATAAAATCAATTTAATAATAGATTAATCTATTTTTTTTTAACTATGCGATATAATCGAAAAAGTTTTACACTTATGTAAACTCGTGGAATAGAATTTCCATTTATAGGCATCAAAAAAATAATTTTAAATTAATTCTTCTTCTTCTGGTTATTGATTCAATATATTAATGAGGATATCGATTTAGCGCAACGTTAAAATATTGTTTCCAATGTATATCGAATTTCGGGATAATTATCGACATTCCTTAGAGTCCCCCAATAAGACTGATTTTAAATTTAAAAACTTGGCTCTGTGCAGAGCCTCTGGGCTATGTGGTTTCTGTTATCCGTTTAAGTTATATGTTTATGCATGACTCTTTTTAGTAGTTTTGGTGGAAGCTTTTTCTTTTCGGCCCTTTGTTGTTGTATGCTTTATTGGAATTATTCTATGTTTAATCTAACAAAAACCACTTACTGCTTCAACTACTGCTAATTAACTCTCTAATTAAAGTCCTGTTGGCCACACTTTGAAACTGTGACGTTATGTTGTAATAATGGTATGATCCCCATGTTCAGTGAGAGGGTAAACACACAAGCACCGAATCGGTCTCAGAGAAATGCTCCGGGAGCAGCAGCAGCCAGTGTGTATATGTCTACCAGAACCGTTCCTAATGTCCCAATGTCACAATGTCCCAGCTATATACTGTGCTATATTCCGATGATAATCCCCCGAGGTGGTGCCGAGTATTCTAATCGCCATTTTCTTTCGCTACTTGCCTTGCAGGAGGAGGTGAAGCCGCCGCCAAAGCCAGCGAAGACGCCGCGCAAGCGCCAGCCGAAGAAAACGCTTATACCCAGTAGCAGTGACTATGGCAGTGTACGCAGTCCACAGGAGCCGCAGCACCATCAGCTGCAGCAGCAGCAGCAGCAGCAACAACAGCAGCAGCAGCAACAGCACAACCAGCAGCAGCAGCAACAGAACACGTACTACGACTTCAACAGCAAGTGGAATACTCCGCTCAAGACGGAGAACAATGCTGCGTCCGTATCGCCGGCGGCCACCATAAATATACCCACATATCCGCAACAGAGCCAGCAGCAGCAGCAGCACCAGCAGCAGCAGCAAGCGGCGGCAGCGGCAGCGGCGGCGGCGGCGCAGCAGCAACAGCAGCAACATCTGCCGCAGCCGGCACACCTGCAATCGTCGCAGGCCCAGTCTCACTTGACCCAGTTGGCGCAATATTACCCAGCCTTTCCCCAGCCCATTGCCTCCCAGTACACGGCCTGCATGCAGCAGCAACAGCAACAGCAGCAGCAGACGCTTCAGCAGCAACAACAGCAGCAGCAGCAGCAACAGCAGGCAGCCTACACGCAGCAGCAGCAACACCAGCAGGCCTATACGCAGCAGCAGCAGCAACAGGCGCAGCAGCAGCGGCAGGAGAAGACAGAGGCTGCCCAGCTCCAGGAAGAGGAGGCGACGGCAGCCGCAGCGGCAGCGGCAGCAGCTGCGGCCAGCAACAAAGTCATTGTGCCGAACATTGAGGAGGAGCTGGACTTTCTGGCCGATGCCACAGCGGCACCCAAGCAGGGTTACGCCAACTCTGTGTCCAGCAACGGCCGCGGCACAAACTCCTCCACCAATAACACCAATTTCGGCATACGTAATCCGAACAAGACACCGTCGCCGGAGCCGCCAACATGTCCGACCAATTCGCACGCCGCCAACAATGGACACGCTTCCACCACTCCAGCGGGAGCCAGTGCCTCCGCCGCCTCAGCGTCCGCAGCCTACAGTCCTGCTGCGCCCAAGCCGGTTAGCGTGGGCACGCAAATCGGTGAGAAGAAGACCCAGTTCATGGACAGCTATCTCAAGTTTCTGCAGGGCGAGCGGGACGATGATCCGCCGCCCGTGGTGAAGCCTTCCCGAAAGCTGAATTACCCGCGAGCGCCATACAAGCGGAAAGGCAAGGGATCGGGTAGTGGCAACGATGAGCCCACCACGTCGCAGGTCAACAATCAGGCCACAGTGGAAGCTGGCCAGGCTGCGGTGGATGGGCTAACGGGGCTCGTGGGCGACGATGGACATCGCATCAAAATACTCTCGCAGACGCAGATTTTACCCAAGAAGCGACCGCACGCCCAAATGGTTGCAGCTGCTGCCGCAGCGGAATCGTCACCCTCATCATCATCGTCGTCGGTGATCCAACAGCCCGGGGATCCCACCTCCTTCCGGCCATACGCCCAGCAGCAGCAGCAGGCGCAGCAGCAGCAGCAATCGATGAGCGGACAGCATTTTGTGCAGCAGCATTGCGCTCAACTGGCAGCTGGCGGAGGAGCGGGTCAAGGTATGTTACTTGACCAACAACAGCATAGTTCCAATAAGCACTCCACTACTATCGCTACTACTTCCACGCCATGCAACAACTACAACAACAACAACAACCACCATCACAACACGTCAGCCAGCGCGAATTCCAATGCGACAACGCCGACGCCAGCACCAGCGCCGAATCCTCATCACTTTATAAACCTGCTGTGGCCATGGCAGCACTAGCAGCAGCAGGCACCACCAGCCACCCACCACCCACGCAGCACCACCACCACCCACACCACACGGACAGACAGAGCGGACAGACACTAGCGACCGAGACACAATAGAGACTTGAGACGACGACGACCCTTGGACGGTGTGTATATGTAAAAAAAAAAACCATAATGACAACATGAAACAAAAAGGAAAAATGCAAACTTTTAAATTGTTAAAAGAGCAGACAAAAACAAAACAAAAATAATAATAATAATAACAAACAAAAAAAAAACATCAAGGAGAATCCCATGAACAAAAGTATAAAAGTATTTTTGAGATGATGAAGAATCAAGAGAGAAGAGAGAGAACAAATATTATTAATTTTCAAAAACCCAAAATAAACCGTGTATTTTTATTATTTGTACTTGAGTAAGATGGAAACCCATTCCGATCCGATGTGCTGGTGGTGGTGCTCGTGGGTTTAAAAAGTTGTTGCAGGTTCTCGTCGTTGTCGTTCTTGTTGTTGTTGTGGCTGGCCCCCTTTCACCCCCGTTTCGACTGCCCATGCCCGTCTGTGTCAGTGTCCACATCCTGTTCAATGTTGTTGCTAACCACACTTTTGTGCTCCTCCACAGACCCTTTGAGTGTGCCGCCGAGACGCGAGCAATGCTCGCGGAAGGCCAAGAGCCAAAGCAGCATGCACGCGGCCATGCTGTTGAATTCCTCTTCTGTCACCGGTGAAACTGGCATCGTTGGCGAGCCGGATGAGTTCACCGATTCGGACACGGATCCCGTGTGGACTCCGCAGGAGGAAGACGTAAGTGTTGAGCCACCCGCCGAAGCGAATTCCATTCCATTCCCTCCTTCCTCACCTCTTCCCCACACCTTTTATGCAGAGCGATGATGCCGGCAAGGGCTATGGAAAGCGCAAGTTGGCTGCTCGCCGCTTAAAGGGTACGCCACGCAAGAATACCTACGAGCAGCTGCAGCACCAGCAACAACAGCAACCACAACAACAACAGCAGCAACACCATCAGCAACAGTTGCAGCAAATGCAGGTGAACCAGCAACAGCAACACCAGCAGCAGCAACAGGTGCAGCAATTGGCCACTGGCAGCAACGACTACAATCCCCAGCAGAATCTCTCAGGAGTGACGGATGTGGGCTATGCCAGTGCCTCCTCGGGCTCAGCTGCCACCACGGAGAACTTTAAAGTAAGCTTGAAATTAGGCCTAATAGCTTTTAAAGCAAGTATTCGAGCTTAAAATTTAAATATATTCTTTATATAGACGGGCGACTTTATAGTCCTGCGATCGGACTTGGTGAACGACTGGCCCACCATTTGGCAGGTGGACTCCAAATGCATTTTGCAGAAGTACGAGCCCTTCCGCCAGAACGGAAAGACCTTTTATCGCAATATGTCCAAGGTTTGTTTGTTTGCTTTAAGATGTATTTTTTTAACCAAATCCAAAAACAATTCCCATCCAGTACGCCTCATGGAATCTCGAAACGAAGAAACTCTACCTCAAGGCACCGGTGCGCATGCAGCTGCATTCCCACACCGAGACTATTGTGGAGTTCATGCGTTCCGAGCTGCTCGCCGATGATACCGAGCAGTTTATAGAGAAGATTATGGAGGACTATCTCTCCTACCGGGACAACTTTGAGATCTACATTCAGACCATGATCTCGCAGGCGCTCGATCCGAGCTTCTTTTCGGAAATAACGCGAGAAAAAGGTTAGAATTTTGCAAGATTTTTGTAAAATTTAATTCAACTGATAAATGTTCCTTCTTTAGACGACTACTTTTTGGGCAGCGTGCGCGTGGTTGACACCATCATGGAGAACTGCAAGCGCAAGCTATTGGCCATTACTCCATGGACAAGGAGCACCATCTCCTCCATTGAGACTTGGCCCAAGTGCCATGTGTTCTCCGAGTGGGAGCAAAATAATCTGACGCAGAAGAACTGCGCCGGTTGTCATCAGCCGGGAATTGCAGTTCGTTTTCTGCTTTTCGGAGAGCCATATAATCCCAATACCATGCAGACCATACCCGTGGATCCCCGCATAGTCTATGAAAAGGTATGCATAACTCTGATTTTTAAACATATTTCAAACGGTTTAAGATGCCAGTCCAAAGAAAGAAATCAAATATCCTTGAAGAATAAAAAATAAAAAATAGAGAGAGATATTTATCCATATTTTTATATGATAATTTGTTGGACAAATCAAAGTTTAAAAAATCTACAGCTAAGAAAAAACTTTATTAATTTAAATTGGGAAAGCTTTTTTGTGTTCGCTTTTTTCTACGTTAACAGATATCCCTTTATATCCTTTAATGTTATTTAATTTATACGTATTTTTATCTTATTGTCTTTTATTGAATTCTTGCAGGACATTGTCTTATGCCGGATTTGTGCCGCACGTGCCGATCTGTTCCACAAGATTGCGCACGAGAAGTTCAATCTGTTCATCAACTGCTCCCAAAGGGTCACCGAGCAGCAGCAACAGTTTCCGGGCAAGACTTCAACGGAAATACTGAACGATCTGCTGGCCGAGCACAACTGGATAGATGAGGTGAGACTAGGGATTTTCTTGTTGAAATTAAAATTAATTCACACAAATCGAAATATAATTTTCAGCTATTCCGCAACATGCGCAACTGTTGGGCCGAGGTGGAGAGTCTGGAGCGCCAGAAGCGTTTCCGTGAGGTCATGCAATAGAAGCCATTATATCACACCAGAGCAGATGCCTCCCGAATCATTGTGTATCCAAGTGCTGGACATTAGGACAAGCCCCACGTATCGCTGCAATAAACTCAATGAGTTGTTATTTTTATTACCACACATATGAAAACAGATGACAGACACGCGAAAGCTTAGTTTTTAGTGCAAAGACACATATTATTGTACTATGGTAGGGCATAAGAGTAAGATATACGGTCTACGTGTGGACTCTGCATAATGCAATGCCATGTAAATAGCTATACACATGTATTTAGCTATAGCCGTGCATTAAATATCATATATGGAATCTAGAACGGTACTAAATAACATAACGTTAGTACTAACCATACTCATTAGTTTTGGAGAAATCACATTTCTGCTTGAATCATTCTTTTAGCAAGAGTTCAAATTTCACAATTATTTTATAGGTTTTTATCAGTTAAGATCATCCCCCCCTCCCCCCACGCATACAATCAAATTGTGTTTCGCTTCTGGAACCGTAATCATCTAACTTAAGGCACTGTAAATATATTTTGTTTACTTTAGTTACGCAAAAATCCAAGTGCAGAGCTTTCAGTTGACATCTTTATTTGTTATGCGGATTTTTAAATTTAAGTTGTGATTTTCTCAGAATCTTAGTTTCCTGAATAAATATGAAACAAAATCACATCAACAAACTTTTGCCTGGCCTCAGAAGTCAAGCCATACATGGGGGCGTTACTTTGCCACTCGAAAGAATTGAGTGCCATCTCAAGAGAGTTTCAGAGCGAGGGAAAGACATTTTAAATTTCTTTTCGGTGGCTATGCGAGAGAATTTTAAAGATCGAAATGGTTCCGGTATTTGGGAACTTAAATACATATGTACATTAAAAATCCAAAACGATTTCTATACCTCTATGTTTGGTATAGTAAATGTTCTTTTTTATTTGGGTTGTCATAATACTGAAGCCCTTTGGCTAGGAGTCCATCTTAAAAAGCGGCTCGGTCATCTCATATTTGATTAAATCCTTGACTATCCCCAGTATTCGGCGTTTGAAAATGGGCAATGTGCGCTCATTAAGCATTTCGTATTCCTCAATCAGGTCCTTGTACTTGGATTCGTCGGAGGAATCCGAAAGATCCTGGATGGCTTCGGATACCGTATCTATATCAAGCACTTCGTTCGCATTGGAAATGAAGAAGGGAAGTGAAAAGGCGCCCATTATTAGGCCGTAAACTCCATAGAGTTGTAATTGGCGGTTGAAGACGCTGCGTGGATATATCTCCTCGAGACGAAGATCACAAGAGGCTAATCGTTGGTCCAAGGTGTTGTAGTACGCGTTCATAAATTCGGGAAAGTGTTCATCCCGCAATTGTTTCTCCGTACAGGCAAAGAGGTAGTGGACTATATCCAGCACTGGCGGTGCATATCGGGACATTTGGAAGTCAATGAGCTTGGCTTCCACAGGTCGGCCAAGAGGCTGTGGATGAGAAAATAAGTATAATAAATACAATGGGTACTTATAGAAAGGACTTGTAAACATCTTTAACGACTTCTTACCTCATGTCTGTATAGGATATTATTATTCCAAAAATCACCGTGGCAGATGACAGCATGCGGTGACTGGGATTTCCCATCCACGCAATAGAGCGCCAAGGACTTTAAATACTTTTCACAACGCTCCAGGACCTCTCGCATGGCAGCGACTTCCGCATGGTCTCCATCCGTGTCATCCAGTATATTGCGCGCCCTTCGCAACTGCGCCTTACCAAACTCAATGGTAACCTCCTCGACATTGGGAGTGAAGAGGTTATCCTTTTTCACGGATGCCACAAGCTCTCTAAACTTTTCCGGATCCCTTTTCTGCAGGATAAACGAGCAGGCGTGCAGCTCCGCTAGAGCTGTCAGAGAGCAAATCACAATGTCATAGGTGGGCATGGAGCTGCGGGAGTTGGGCCTGAAGCCACTCTCAGATAGATCCTCGAAGATGAGGAACTCATCTGGAGCCTTCAGTGCGGGCGTCACTGTGAATTCTGATAGGTTCTTGAAGATGGGGAATACCTCCTGGTACATGAAGACCTCACGCGCATAGTAGTCCACAACGTGCATGTGGGACCTCCGGGCCTCGTTCTTGGGCGCCATCTTGACCACTAGACTGGCCGCCTCGGGAACGGTGGGCCAACTGACGCGAAGGACCTGTCCGTAGGCATTCTCACCCACTCCCGCCATCGGCTGCGAATCCATGGGCTCATGGTGGCGCTGATAGAGTTCCAATAGGGCGCTCGTCACGGCGCTCGAAAGCTCGCTCTCATTACTCATTATTGCTCGGACTGGTTGTGATGTATTGTAGCTTTGTCGATGAATCTGTCTTTCCGACTGAAGCGCTGCAGTTAATGTTCCCTGTTTTTATAGTTTGTGGCTGGAAAAGCTCGCAGATAGTTGCGCTGCATTGTTGTGGGTGGTGATGAAAGGCCAAGTGACCACGTGAAAGAGAGGGTTATCCTGCAGGCTCTGGAATAGCAGATCTACAACTGAACATGATTTATTTATGTTAATATTTATTTTTACCAATGTATATGCTGGGAACAAGATTTCTCTTTATTTAAAGTTATTTATGATTTTTTTTTTAAGATTATCTTACTGTAAGATCGCTGACCCATTGTGTTTTACTTATTTACTAAGAAATATAATTTTTAAATAAAATTAAAGAAAATGTAGCCATATTTTGGTCTAATCTTAAGTGCTCTCTGAATGCAGTAAAAATCTATTTATATTGGCCAGAATATTATTTAATCGTGTATTTTCTATAGATCGGCAACATTTTCAAAAATCCTTTTTATACCCTTGCAGGGTATTATAATTTCAGTCAGAAGTTTGCAACGCAGTGAAGGAGACGTTTCCGACCCTATAAAGTATATATATTCTTGATCAGCATCAACAGCCGAGTCGATCTAGCCATGTCCGTCTGTCCGTCTGTCCGTCTGTCTGTCTGTCCGTCTGTCTGTCTGTCCGTCTGTCTGTCTGTCTGTTTCTACGCAAACTAGTCCCTCAGTTTTAAAGCTATCTGAATGAAACTTTGCATATAGTCTTCTATATGCTCTCACTGCTATATATGTCGGAACGGGCCGGATCGGACGACTATATCATATAGCTGCCATACAAATGTTCGATAAATTTTTAGAAAAAAATTATAACTTGGCTGTTTTTCAATATTTTTGCATCATTTTTGAGATATAGCCATTTTATAATATTCCAGAATTTTGGTAAAAATTTTATGAAAATCGGACGACTATATGATATAGCTGCCATAGGAACGATCGGGAAATTAATAGAAATAAAATTATAGCTTCGTTGTTTTTCAACGCATTTTTATTTACTCTGAGATATAAGTTTTTTTTATTATTCTAGAATTTTGGTATAAATTTCATAAAAATCGGACAACTATATCTTATAGCTGCCATAGAAGCGATCGGTAAATGTAAAAATATATAAAGCTGGGAATGTAAAACTGTAACTGTCAAACTGTAAACATAATTAGTATAGGTAAAATGTAATGAAACTCTGTTTTGTGAGTGTTTTCAGCATTTAAATCTATAAAATAAACATCAAAACCAATCTGCAAGGGTATACAAACTTCGGCGTGCCGAAGTTAGCTTCCTTTCTTGTTTAATTTAAGAATGTTTTCAAAAATCAAAATAATATAGAATTAGGAAAACAGTCTGCTTATCTTAAAAAGAAGTGATGAGTGATAGTTAAAAGAGACACCATTTAGGGGAAGAACCCCAAGAGTTCAATCAATTTTGTTTATACATACCTATCATACGAATATCATTGAACCTATTAAATAATTATAATTTCCAAAATAGAACAACATCTTCAAATTAAATAAAAACCAACCTAAACTACTTTTATTTACAATTATTCAAAATAGGCATAACCACTTTCAGTTGCGCAGTTAGAAAATGCCAATATTTACAATAAGTAAATTGAATTAGTTGAAATTTTGTGGAAAACCAGTTAAGCCCTCAATCCAGAGGGTTTGCACAACACGATTGAACCAATTGACATAAATGATAGTGCACTTCCTCCTCCATTGTGTTTCGTGTTCTATTTTCAAATCCAACGTCAGTTGGCGTGATGCGAGTAGTTTCGGTCGTTGACCCAACTCAAGGCCACTGCGAATAGACCTTCCGTATGTGCATGCCATACATACCTACACAGGTAGTTAGAAAAGCATTCGATTAGGGGGAGGGGGGGTTAATAAAAAACTTAAACTTTTGCTTTACCAATTTCTGAAGCTTTCTAACATATCGGCCATTGAACTTGACCAGCGTCGTGCATGCACGGCGAATAAAAGCTTGCCAACCCCAACCCCGATCTAACCCGTTCTAATGATGAGAACCGATCGACTCAGTCGAGTGCAATTCCCTCCTAGACGTGAGCTTTTCTCCCAAGGCCATTGAGTGGAGGCGCGACAAGCTTTCGTCGGTTAAGGTTTACCTTTCATTGCCATTGAGAGCGAATCAGTGCTGTCAAAAATTTTGGCTGGATTTAAAAAACAAAAAATAAATATAAAAAATATAATAATTTCTATATATATCTAAGCAAGTGGCGCTAAAAAAAATTCACTGATCTTATGTTAAAATTGCTTCTAAAAGCAGTAATCCTTAATAGACCTCTAATACCGAACTTCAAGGTCGAAGATTACCATATAAACCATTCTTAAGGTAAGGCAAAGGAATCTAAAAATGTCCTCATTGTAAAGTGCCTGTTTTGTTTAGGAATCCCCGCCAATTTTAGGATTCAAGATTATTAAATCTGTATTTTAATTTTTTTTTTTTTTTATAAAATATTATCAACAACTGCCTTAATCTAGCCAAAACAAAAATGTCTAAGTTGACAGCATTAAAAGCGAGCGTTCGGCGGTCGTTAACCCGACACCATTTCGAAAGAAGCGGCGCTCCGCGGTTGCCCAACTGCCCGACAGACCCAAAACAAAATATAGTTTCGCTTTTTGATACCGTCTGCTCGCGGGGTATGATAATTTTTTACTCAGTCAACAAAACTAGAGAAAATTTAAATTAAAAAAAAAACACTATCATATTTCTACTTATACATTTTATTTAATAACAATTAAAAAGTTGAATTTCGTTGGTTGCTCCCACAAAAGCGTTGATAAATGCTCCGTCTGTTATTCTCCCCTTGGAAGTTTGTCCTCTAGAAAAAAAGAACTTAGATTTAAGCTTGGGTATATTATTTTAAATGCTCGTTTTAAACAGTTGCAAATCAGAATATTATCTACAAAACATGCTTATTGTTTACAAATATAAGTTCACGCAAGGACAATTACAGCATAGAAAGTTTAAATTAAATAGCATTGCTTTTCCAACTTCTATTGACAACTAAACAAATGAATAGACAGACAAAGTAAGACCTTCATAAATTCACAATCTAAAATAAAGAACACATAATACTCGCCCATAGATATAGCTCAGTTATATGATAAAAAAAGGGAGCTGGTAAACTTGGTGCTATGTTCGATGTTATTGCTTTGTTTTTCTCTCTCTTAATTTGTACAGGTTGTAATTCAAAGGTAATGAAATATTTGTTTGAATTGCAGCTTAAATATACGGTGGAATTGTCTTAGGTATATACACAATCGAGGACCAGTCGAAGGACCTGAAATTAGTTAACTAAATACATGCTTTACTGTAGCTCCGCGGAGTCGGCAGTGTTTGAGTTTGAGTTCTCCTCCGACTTCTTCGAAGACGGCGAGTCGGAGAGATTTGGCGAGAGGTCGCGCAGCTTAACAACGTTACCGACGTTCACCAGGTTGGCCGCCTCGGCCACCGAATAGCCAATATCCGGCGGCGTGCCCTCTGGATAGCCCAAATAGTAGTCTGCAATACGACCGGCTTCTCGCAGTCCGCTCAAGTAGGCTCCGTGCACGGTGGCCGGGTAATTCCGTATCGTATGCTCTCCAGCGAAAAACAAGCGAGGCAGACCTTCCGCCTCCTTACTTGATGGCGGAATGACAGGTGCCGCCAGTAGGTCATAGTCGCTGCCAGAGGATCCAACGGAGACATAGCTATAGGAGCCACGGGCCCAGGGATCGCTGCGCCAGCGTGTGACCACCGTCTCCTTAGGCTGTGGAACAGAGGTATTGCCAAAGATGTTCTTCAGCACCGACATGCATCGCCCAATGATTATGTCGTCCGTCACGCTCTCCACAAGGTTGGCGGCCATGCCAGCGACCAAAGCCAACAGCACGGGCGACGAGCTGATGCTCCAGAAAAGGAACATTTCTCCTGGGAAAATAAGAGATAACAAAAGGGATTAAAGTTAAGTAATTCCTTAAAATATGTATACTAAAAAGTAAGTAATGTAAGATTATAAAAAAACCAATATAATATAATTATTATATTTTATTAATAATTATTATTCTCCTTATTTATTTTTAATTAATTTTTTTTAGAATAATTTTTTTTAATATTTAAATATTATATTATTTTATCATATTAAATATTTATAACTTCTTCATTCACTTACCCCGACTGGAGGTGGTACTGCCCACATGACCAAAGAGATTCGCATTGGGATCCCAGAAAATACGATCGAAACAAAGCACCACCTTATTTAGGTTACCGAATCCTAGCCTGCGTATGGCCTGCTGCTTCCAATCCGGCAACGGAGGATCAAACTTGACGGTATTACTTTGCTGGGACTCTTCGTGGGCCACGGCCACTTTCAGGACGCCCAGCGTTAGGGTGCATACCGCCAGATCGGCCTTGTATGTCATCTGTGAGTTGGAGGTCTTCAGGTTCTCGGCCACCACTTCCACGCCATGGGTACCGTATTTGATCTCCTTGACGGCACTATTGACCCGGATGTCCAGATTCTCGGTGAGGGCCACTGGCACACAGGAATACCCATTGCGAACGGTGGTGTGATGGCCAATGAACTCAAAGTCATCGTCCTGGTCCCAATGCTTCAGTGACAGGTTGTTTAGTCGGGTGGCATTCGCGAACTCCAGGTTGGCAAAGTGCCAGTCCAAGATGAGTCGGTCCCGGGAGGAGAGGTACACATCGCTAGAAATGCATACAACAAATGATTAATTTAATTATTATTAAATATTAATCTATTATTTAGTGTTTAGAAAAATCCCCCTACCTGGGTCTGTTCTGCTCCATCTCGTGGAGCTTCGTCTCCATCTGCTTGTCCTCGTCGCGGAGCTCACCGAACAGCTTGACGGCTTCGTCCAGCTTGAACTGGGTGTTGCGTATGCTGAACTCCTGGCGCGCGTACGTTAGGTCACTCTCCACGCCCTTGGGCGTTCGCTGTTTCACCAGCGCCGCATGCTCGCTTCGGAGTGTGTCGATGGTCTGCTTGACCGACTTGATGCGTTGCCGATGCTCAATGATCTTCGTTTGAGCCGCGATTATCTCCTGCATGTGCAGGGCCCGCTTGTGCATTACCTGCATCTCCTGCATGCTGATGATCCACTCGAGGGCGTCGCCTAGCGACACCGGACAGTTGCCGGCATAGTTGAAGTCCAGGCGGTGTGACAGGTAGCTGGCCGACTCCAGGAGACGATTGAATTCCAGCTCGATGACGTCGTCCTTCTCCTTGGGCACCGGCTTGCCATCGGGCCCGTAAAGCGGGCACGTCTGCTGTATGGGCACCAAGTCCATGCCGATCTGCTTGCTCAAAATGGTCATGGGGTTGCCGTAGACGCCGGTCACCACCATGGCCCCCAGATCGGCAATGTAGCTGTTCTTGCGGAAGGTGGCTATACGGCCGCCGACTCGATCTCGCGCCTCCAGAACGATCACATCCATGCCGAACTGCTGCAGCTGCTGGGCCACGGCCAAGCCGGAGATCCCCGCACCGATAACAATCACTTTACCCAGTTTTTTCGTGGGAATCGGTCGCTGACGCTTGAAGATGCCAAAGTTGATGAAGCCGTGTCGTTCAAGGAACGAGTGCACCCGCCGCACCAGGCCGGGCTCGCTGTCAAAGGGAGGTGGCAGCGATTTCAGAGCATTCTCGAAGCTCAGCTGCACCTTGGGATTGTCCACCCACATGTGCAGCAGGCTGTTTCGTATGTTGAGGAACACGCGATGACCCAGGATGCCCGAACGACTGATGTCCGGGAAGCAGGCCTCCTCGTTGGGCGTCATCTTGCTGAAGGGCAGGCGGGACTGAAATACGGCGCCCTCCTGGCCGGAGAGAACGGTGGGCGTGCCCACGTCCCGTTCCCGCGCATCTCCATTCTGTGTCGGTCGCGCATTTCCCGTGGCTTGTCCCGACACAGAACTTGCGTTCGCCTCCGACCTCCGACCTTGGGCTTGGTTTTGACTCCGACTCCGGTCTCCCTGCTGGTTGTTGTTGGACGATGAAGAAGATCCGGGAGTGGACTTCTCGCCGGTGGGGGCAGCTTCTCCACTGCCACTGGGCCTGTTGCTGTAATCTACCTTGGGCCTGTTGCGTCTGCTGGTGCGCCGCTCATCCGCAGCGGCGCTGGTGGCAGGTGCATCGTTGGAGTCGTCGTCCGGCAGCTTCTGTTTTTGGGACGTAGCAACAGGAGCAGTTGCGTTCCGTTTGGGCGAAGGTTCGCCGTCGGAATCGTCGCTAATCAGTGTCACATACTCAATGGGCTCGGACATTTTGGAGCCAGCAGTGCCTCCGCTTTGGGTGGGCTTCATCGCCGGCAACTGGCAACTGTCGTCGCCGGGAAACCAAAAAGTATGAGCGTCCTAAAAAACGTAACCGAAAACTCAGACATAAACTTGGCAAAATCACGTTTTCGACTCAAACTTTCGGCTGAAAGTCACGGATCCTTCAGCACACATACAAAATTGGTATATATTCAAATTCATTGCATTTTATTATCCTTTTTTTTCTCTAATCTAAGCACGTTGTGGTCGAAAAACTGTTTTAGATCAAAACTGTGCCTTATTCGAAAAGAACAATAATCGGGTTTTGACTGCCTCATAAGCTGTTCCCACTAGTGCTGATTTCCATTTAATATTTTGACGTTATTATTCGAACTTTCAACATTTCGGAAATTGCAAAATTGTAAAATTGTTTATATGGTTTGGCCGGTGTGGCCGTCACTCACTAAAACCGGCTCGGCAGGAGGCGCGCTTTTTGCAGGCAGCGCCAACTGGTCACACTGCCACGCGGGGGTTGGCTGTTGTGCTGTACTGAAAATTCAGCATTTTTCTGGGCAAATTTATAAGCTATTTATTGGGGGTGACAACAAATGCATTTAACAAGGATTTATGTATATTTTATACGAAAAATTGTATTGATTTGCTTTTCGTCTGATTGAGAATTTGAAAATCTCATGTTTGCCCGCTAGAAGGCTACCGCATCGAAAAATATTCGATTGTTTTTTCCTGGTTATCGATCTGTGAGCCAATTTATTAGAATAACGGTTTTAACGTTTTTGAAAATGTGCAACTATTTTTTTTTATAGATTTTCCAATAAAACCTCTTAGAACGGAAATAATGCACATTAAGCGAAAAATACATTAAAATAATATTTACTAAAAAATAAATGTTAAATTAATTTGTATCTAAAAAAAAAAAAAATTCATATCTTGAAAGATCGTTTACCATAAATTGTAGCCAATTCTTCTAATACTTTTTTTTTTATGCGGCTATCCCAAGCGGATCATATTGATTTGTTTAAACAATACATTATTGATAAACGTTATGTACGTTCCCTGAAAGAAAACACATGTTTTAAGCTAATTGTTTAATCTTTCTGTGGTTGGCTCCCGTTTTATTTTTGTGCTAAAGTGGGTGCAATTAATCATCTGCTATAAATTATATGTATATAAACTTGTATTATCAACTGTTATAATCTATTTAAATAGAATGGTAATGTAAATATACGAAACATGACAGGTGACGATGAACAAAGTCTTAACAAATAAATCTAAAGATGCTCCGGATCACTCCAGTAGTGCAGTCTCAACGGAAATTCCTTTTACATTTCAACTCATTTCCAGCTATTTTATTTACTTGATAACGCTTCAGTAGCATATAATTAGGTTACCCATTTTATTCGATGGTTACAAGAGAAATAAAATTGCTGGAAATGAGCTAAGAATTCAAAAGAATTTCCGCTTGGGCGTGTCAAAGGGCAGTTCAGACATTCTGAAAATGAAAAAATATCCTTTAGGGACTGGAACAGAAAGATTAACAAATGAGATTCGAGCCCACCTGACCAGCTTGGGGCCGCTGAGGCCCTCCTTCTCGGCATTGTTCACATCGCTCAGCGGTGTGCTGGTGTCCTTTTGGTCATGCGGTCGCTTCGGAGAGGCTACCACCTTGGCCAGCTGTTGATCTGGCGAGATGAATGTGTCGCAATTCTCATTTTGGGTCTGCTCTCCATCCGTGTCTGGCGGCTTTTGATGCACATTTAAGGGATTCATGCAATGACCCTTGCAATAACACTTCTCGGAGCACACAGTGTGGCCCAAAAAGCAGGCGCAGCGTTGGCCATTGCACTTGGTGCGGCATTTGCACCTGGTGGTGGCCGTGCCGTCTTCCTGGGCCGCCGTGAAGTTGAGGGAGGATGCATTGCTCACCTCAGTGCCATTGAGCTGTGCTGCTGCCTCCTGCCCTCCGCCCCCCGCCGACTCCGTGATGGAATTGGACTGCGATCGCAGCTGTAAAAAAAAAAAAAATGATTAATTATGGGAAAACTAAAGCTGATTCACTATTTACAGATTTGTTTTTCTTTCTCTTCGACGGCACCCAGTCGGGATCATCGCTTTCGATGGTGATTACTTCCTGGCTGTCGTTCAGATCGCTCATGTAGTCGTGATACAGATCCTCGGTCTTGAGGGTCGCCTTTGACTTGGCCGCTTGGCTTTTTGCCGGCCGGCTCTCCTCCTCTACCACCACCACCTCCTCGTCCTTCGGTGCCCTCAGTAAAAGTGCCACTTTCTCCTCGTAGGAACGCTGTTGGCTGAGCATCTGTTCCTCGTGTTTCGCCTCGGCCAGCTTCAGTCGGTTGCTCAGTGACTCGTGCATCTGCTGGGCCTCCAGAAGCTGGGCCCGGACGTCGTCTAGTGCAGTACGTTGCTCGTTCGAGCTGAGCGCCTGCTGCCGGCGCTGCTGCACCAGGGTCTTCACCAGCTGCTTGCTCACCGAACGCGACTCGGCGATGCTTTGGACACCCTCCGACAAGGCGCGAATCCGACTGTCCAGGTCGCTTTGGCACACCTTCTGCTGCAGGTCCGAGATCTGGGCATTGCGCATCTCAAGCTCTTCCTCTAGGCTGGCCAGCAGCCTGGCCTGCTCCTTGGCGTCCGCAGGATTCGTGCTTGTTTGCTGCTCCATTTGATGATAGTGCCGGTTGACTTCCGCGCGGTCCTCCATCAGCTGCTCCAGACTGTGCTCGGCATCCACCAGGGAGAGTATGATCTCCAGTTCGCGTTCCACCCAGGAATCGGCCTTTGCGCTGCTGGCACCGCCAGCCGCGGTTCCGTGATTCTTGGCGGACTTTTGGCGTTGCGCCTGAGCGGATGCCTGGCGGTCGAGGGCGTCCTTGAGGCGCTTGTTGGCGGCCATTGCCTCCTCGCACTTGCGTTTAAGCACCTGCCGCTGCTTGGCATGGAGCGTCTGTTGGCGCACCATCTCCGACTGCATCTTGCGGTCCTTGCTTTTCAGCTGGGTCACCTCCTTCTGATGCACCATCCTCAGCTGGCGGAACTTCTCCGACTCGCCTCGCATGGTCCGGATCAGCTTGACCTTGGACTCCTTCATGATCTTGATCTCGTCGCTCAGATTCTTGATTTTCTCGCGCTCCTTTTCGCGCATCTTTAGCATGTTGGCCTGGGAGATGACCTTGCGCCGCAGATCGGCTATCTCCTGCTCGAGCGTCTGCAGTCGCTTGCGGCGCTCCTCGGCAATTTTAGCGGAGGAATCCTTGGTTTTGATATTGCGCAGCTGGTCCAAGAGACTGCGTCGCTCCTCCTCCAGATCCTCGATCTTCTGGTTGCACTGGCGCAACTTCAAATCCTCATCCGTTGCCTCCAGCTTGCTGAAGTTTCGCATGATGCGCACATGCAGCTCCTGCTTGAGATCCAGCTGCCGGTTGATGTTCCTCAGCTCGCTGGCCAAGTTCAGCTGCTTGTCGGTGTACTCCTCCGACTGCAAATGGAGCATCTCGTGCGCCTCATAGCTGTGATCGTGCCCATTGCTAAGCTGGTGGCGTGTCTCCTGGTCATGCGATTCCAGCTCTTCCTGCGTGCGCTGCAGCTGATCATCCACCATCTCCACCAGCTGGCTAATCTCCCGCAGCCGCTCGTCTCCATCTCCTCCATTACCGGAACGTGCTTGCTGTTCCTGCTGCTGCTGCTCTAGTTTCTCCTTTAGCTGGAGAACGTGGGCGCGGAGTGCATCGTGTGCCTGTTCGGCAATGTGGGCACGCATCTCCTTCTCTGTGAGATCCACCAGAGACTGGTGGAGCTCCTGCTGCAGTTTCCTGTTTCGCTCCTGCAAGCTGCGCACCTGCTCTTGCAGACGTTGGTTTTCTGACCTATCCAACGGTTCGCTAGGGGGAATGGGTTCCAGGCCAGCGGCTCCCACGGCGCTGGTGATGGAGGAGCTCATCTTGCCGCCGCCCAGAAGTTGCACGCGCAGTTTTTGAATGATGTCCTTGAGCATGTTGACTTCGGCCGCGTGCGGATCCTGATTAACCACCGGCTTGTTTTTGATTTGAAGCGCACGATCCGCGTAACGCAAAGTGCTCACCGTTTCCGCCACATTGTAGTCCGCCGGACTGACGCAGGCAATCATCAGGGTGATGGAATTGCCGCCGAGCGAGTCCTGGAGCAGTCGTGTCAGCTTCGACTGCCGGTAGGGTATGTAGCCAGGAGCGTTGGTAGCTAAAAAATGGAAAGTAATATGTAAGAGGGTACCGAGTGTCCATAAGCATTACTCACCTCCTAAAGCATTTATCACATTGCCCAAGGCCAGCAGTCCCTTGTTGATATTAACTCCCTCCTTGAAGCGATCCCCGCTGGCTAGGGTCTTCGAGCAGCGCTCCGAGCCCGCCAGATCCACTAGATTAAACCTGGAGGTGGTCACCGCTTTGCTGTCCTTCTTGGTGGCCACCAGGGTGAGCGTGAATATGGCATGGGAACGCGAGGAGGTCTCGTTCATGGCAGTGGCAGCCACTGCTCGTCCGGAGGAGCCGCGCATCAGATAATCAGTCACTTCCTGGGCAGACTTCACGGCCAGCTCGGTGAGGCCGGGCATTACCACCCTCTTGTTGACCTCCTTGATGTCAACCGTGATCTTGCCCGGCGAGAAGAGATCGAAGAACTGCTCCTGGTACAATTCCACAAATGAGCAGGTGACACTGAAGCTGTACTCCTCCTGCCGCTCGCCAATCTCCCGAAATATATCGTCGACAGCGCGCGGAATTACGCCCGCGCTCTCGTCCATCACCCCGTTGTAGCTGGTGCCCATGGTGAAGGTCTTGCCAGAACCAGTCTGGCCGTAGGCGAGGATTGTCACGTTATAGCCCTGCAGCAGCTTCCTCTGCTTGGCCAGAACGCAGCTCTCATAGATCTCTCTCTGGGTGGCGTCCACGTCGAACACATGGTTGAATGTGAACATCTCGCTCCGGTTTACAATTACCTGTGGAGCTCCTGGCGAGGTACGCTCCACGGCAATCAAGCAGCCGCGATCCACCTCCGACTGCACCAGAGGACGCACGCGCAGCGCCACAGCCACGGAGGTGGGATCCTCGTTCCCGCCGGACATCTGATAAAAATAGACATTAAGTTACAAAGTTTAACGAGTGCAGGCAAAGGTAAACTCACCTTTAATTTAACAAGTAAAACAATATAACAGACAAACACCGAGGAACCACGGGAATGACGCTAACATTTAGCACTTGCAGTTAGTTATTTAAAAAATGGTGGGCTCAGTGTGACCGTAGCGCGGCAGCGCGCTAAGCGGCGACTTATCGATATCGATCTGCAAGCTGGCTATTTTTTTTTTTATGAGTCAAACTGAAATGACGTAACTGCCTTGCGTTATACGTTAATTTGAATTTTAGTAAAAACCGATCTAACTTACGGATGAAATTCAGGATTACGAAAATTTCAACACAATTTAGCTCACTTCGGTTTTTTTTATAAATAAGCAAACCTAACAGTTAATTCAATTCGGAAGTTTGTTTTTATTTGGTTAATAAATCTGAATATTTGAAAAACATGAAAAACAACCACAATTTTATGAAATTCTTTAGAAACTTAAGTGGCAATAGAAATTATAATCTCAAAGTGTCATGTCGTTCATATACAGATATTGGTTAATTGTCTCGTTTCTAAATTTAGAGACAGCTTCGACGTTCCCTTTATGTTAACCATACTTTTAGATTAGTGAAAACCCAAAATCTATTTATAAAATGCAGCTTTTAATTTCCCAGCTTGTGGCAAGATGTCAGTGTTAATGAAAAAAAGTAAGATAACCAAGGTAGTTACGGATTCCATAATTTACTGAAGTGGGACTTTGAACATTCCACCTTCTTAATGTTTAAACATTTTATCTGAAAGATACATAGACCTATAATGGTTGAAACTTTGGCTTCTAGAACTAAGTGAACTTCTTGAACTGAATTACAGATATTATATACATTTTTTATAAATTAATAGATATTAATTAGCAATGTTGATAAGTTTGAGATATTTTTTGTACTTGTAATATATGTTATTCCTACAAAAACAATAACAGAACTACTGTGCCTGAAGTTACTCAGCCTCAGCTCAGCTCTGAACCTTTGTAAATCCCCCCAAAAGAGGTAAACATTGGTTTAGTTTTTGCCATTCATAGAATATAATATATGTAGTATATAATTGGAAACACCAATAATATCACAAGACTCAGTCACGGTCATCGCAGCACTTGTCGTAGATGATCGTGGGGGTGCAGGCCTCGATGGTCTCGTCGAAGAAATGGTCAAAGTGACATGTCTCCTCCTCCACTGTCTTGCTGTCGACGCAGCGGATGTAGTTGTGACAGTTGTTGCTGCTGCTGGCCACCAGCATTGTTCCTCGGCCTTCGCACCTGTTGTACTCGCACACCACCTGGGCGGCCGGGGCACAAACCTGGAGATCTTCATCGAAAAAGTATCCCTCTTTGCACTGCATCCACATAGGGTCCAGGTCAATTACAGGTGACAGCCCCTGGCAGTAGAAGTAACCCCGGCAGGTTGCCTTGTCGGACACAAACGTCGCCTTTGTCGATTTGGAACAGATGCCGCTCTTGGAGTGGGCCGAGCACTCGATCGTGCTTGGTTCCACACAACTACCACTCTCCACATCGAAGTACTGTCGCTTCTTCGTGGTGATGCACGTACTCGCGGTATGGCTCTCGGAGCTGTTGCACTCGTAATACTTGGCGCAGTCATTCTCGTTCCGGAACTTGGTCTTGCTCGGCACCAGCTCGCATATATTGTTCACATCGACGCACGTCGAATCCACGCCATGCTGGCAAGCCTGATTGGCCTCATTAAAGTGCTGGCTATTCGGACATATTCCCGGGTGCGGCTCACCATTCAAGCAGTAGAAGTACCTGTGGCACTCAGTCGGATCGGCTACCCATTCGCCGTCCTTGCCTTCGCACCGGTTGCCACAGTACTTGTTGCTGTTGGCCAGCGTGTCCACGCACTGGTTCTTGCTGGGACTGAAGGACTGGCCGGAGGTACAGGTAAGGACAGTGCCCTCGCCGTTGACGCACTTGATGTACTGGTCGCAGGTTCCAGGCTTGCGGATCTGGGTGCCGTTCTTGAACAGGCGGCAGAGCTCCTCGTACTCACCGGTGCTGGCCGCCGACGATGTCTGCCAAGTCATTAGAAAAATGCATCCGAGAAGCACTCCAAAAAGGCTTGATTCTGAAAAAAGAAAATGGTTAAAATAGGTTTTTTGTCTTAATCTTTAATTTGTTTATTATTTATGTTATGCTATATTATTCCGACTGATTTGCCTATCAATGGGATTAGAGTTATTGTTTTTAAAATCTTATCATCTCATAAATTAAAAAAAAACAAGGACTTCCTGTTTTTCTAAGTTATATTTTTATAGTTTGCTCCAATAAATTATGAATAAAGTTAAGATTGTTTTGTTTCAAAACTCAATAACTGCATGAATATTTCAGATTTTAATAGTCTTAGCTGACGGAAATGGCATTCTTGTCTATTTAAATGGTTTTCCAGATCTCAGGTAACAATTTTGAACAGTGCACTTAAGCATCGTTGATAATACTCACTCGGCATGGCTGATTGTTTGGGGAATTTGGTTTAATTTGCAGGGGAAGAGATCGCGTTGTCTGATGTGGCCTCGGGCACTAATTGCTCCCGACTAAATGGAGTTTCGTGAATGGAAAAAGTTTATATTAACCAGCGGCGAACATGGCTGCTGCCACCGAATGCCTCGGCTGATAAGCAGCTGCGAATCTTATCGATGTTTTGCCAAAAAGTACGTAAACCCCTTCAAGTGCCCAGTAATTTGCGATGCAAATCATCCGCGAAGAGGAGTCTGTCTGGGCGTGGTGTCCCCATAAGTTGTGGGCTTGGACACCTTATGGACACCAATTGGTCAGGGAAATGAAAATGAAACTGGTTAATGAGGTGTCGGCTCTTATCTTAAACAGAAAATAGCCTTTTATTGGCTGTTAATTAATTGAACTATAAATATATTAATCGCGTAATCGCGCAGTCACAAGTTATTGTTCTTGAATGGGTGTCGTAAATATGACAAAATGATAAAGCCAGTTAGTCGCTTTCAAATTGTTTTTGGGAAAAATCAGAGCTTTAAAATACCTAAGAAAGAACGATTATCATTTATGGTATGTTTGACTCCCACCACCTGCACGTAAAGTTTCCATGATTTGTTGATGTTTTATTTACATTATTTATAATTAGTTTATATAAATGTTTTTAATTAGCATCAGCAGGCGTGCCAATTGGGACAAGTTTCAGATATTAGGAGCGAAGAGAGAGCTAGAGCTACATAATTCGGTGAAAATAATTAAAAATTTTAATATAGCTAAAAATTTCAATTTTGTTTGAATTTATAAAACAAAAAAGTTAAATATGTTGGGTACAACAGTCAGATAATAATCATGAGAGTTAAGATAATAATTATCCCGATTTATTTGGTTTTATATCCTAAAATTTATGGATTTAAAAAAAAAAGAATATAAGAAAATACCCTTTGTAAACAATGATAATGATAATGATGATAATCTAAACAGCTTTTAAAAGCAGAAACATATATTTATTTTCATTTACACGCGGCGTAAGTTAGGACGTCCGGTACACAGGCACCCTTGGTTTGATCGAAAAAGTAGTTGCCGCAGGATTTCTCCTCCTGGGTGATGCCGTCCGAGCATATCAAATATTCGCGGCAACCGGTGGTTGCACTCTCCACGAAAGTAGCTGTGCGACCATCACATCGATCCCATTTGCAGGCCACCGAAGTGGGATTCTTGCAGGTCTGGCTGGAGGCATCAAAGAAGTAGTCCTGGGGACACTGATTCCAAGTGGGATTCGCATCCGGAGTGCCGTCCGCTTGTTTGGCGCAGAAAAAGTAACCGCGACAGGTGGCTGCATCCGTGACGAATTTGTTTTCCAACGGCTTCTTGACGGTGCCGCAAACATTCGATGGCAAGGGATGGGCATCGCAGTCAACCAAAGCCTTCGCCACACAGGTTCCTGTGCTGGCCTGGTAGTACAAGGCGGAGGCACAGGTCTTGTCCTTCAGCACACCCTTTTCGCAGACGTGGTACTTGTTGCATCCCTGAAGATTGTCAAAGTTCACGCTGTTCTTCACGATGTTGCAGTACTCAAAGCTGCTGGCCGTGCAGGCCGACTCGTAGAGCCGGGTGCAGGTCTGGGTGGTGGCATTGAAGTGGGTCTCCGTGGGACATTTGCCGTACAGGGCCGTCTCCTGGTCCGAGCAGTAGTAGTAGCCGTAGCAGGACTTGGGATCGGCCACGAACTGGGTGGCCGCATCCTCGCAGGACACCGCACAGCTGGAGTCATCCGTCAGGGCCTTCACACACTTGCCGGTGTCCTTGTCGAAGAAGGGCGTCGAGCCCGCGCAGGTGCTGTAGTGGCTCACGGAATTGATGCAGGTAATCGATTGGCCGCAGGAATCAGGATCACGGATCACGGTGTTGTTGGAAAACAGGCGGCAGATGTCCTCATCTCGGCCATTAGCTATCCCGAAGCTCTGGACCAGCAGCAGCAGCAGTGCCAGGCCAACGAAGGCTTTCGGTTCTGAAAGTGTGATCACATCTTGGTTAGTCAAACTCCCACGAAACTGAAGAATGTCAATGTCACCCACTTTCCATCGCAAAAGAAGAATAAGTTATCGGCAGGCAGCTCAGCACTCGACGAACTAAAGAACAGAACTGAGTTCGCTCCTCGGCGGCGATTGCTTTTATTGCCTCTATATAGCCTATATGGGAGGATCAGCAGCGATCGGCAGGTTATTTATTTTTATTGGAGAGATAAGCGAATTGATTTTTATTCGGGGTACCTTCAGAGGGTGTGGTATACAAAAAAGTACCCTGTATCAATTCTTTTAATATTTTGAAAGTTATATAATTCTAGAAATTTTAAATTATTTCCTTTCTTTATTAAATTATACCTTATTTTCAATAACTAAAATACACGAATTTTCTATTTTTTTTTCGAATAACAAAATTGCATATTTTGTAATTTAAGCATCGGGTAATAAAAAGTCTATAGTTTTCTACAAAATGACCATTTTGGCAATTGCTAACTGATAAATATAATAGGAAGTAGATAAGATTAATTATAGCTGAGGCACTAGCTGGCTTAATTCATAAAATACAAATAAAAGAAACCCGTTTAAATTTATACAAATTCAGGGGGTTTTGAACCCAAACTTAAGTAAAGAAATGTAGACAATTAATGAATGATGAAAAAAATGATTACAATTCCTGGAAAATATCATATATCTTATATGCTAGTACGATAGCTTTTGGAGTGTTACAAGTAATTTTAATTGCATATTTAGGAGCTGTTTTTGAAAATACTTGCAGTGTGCTTTTAGAGAAAAAATAAAAATATCTTTAGGATTTTTTTTATTAATTAAATTTTATATTAATACATTTTTTTGAATTTAAAGTTTTATATAGGGAATTTTTAATATTTCCAGGATTTAAAAATAATTTATTTAAAATTAATAATACAGCACAAGTATATTTTTGAAGTATAATAGATTTTCAAGTAGATTTTCCTTGCAAACTTTTGGCTTAAATTACCTTCACAACAAAATTTGTTGTCTCTACTGCGAACTAGACAACATCGATGTTATTGCTGCCTATCATATCTCTAAAAATCACCGATTGACATAGTTGTACTGACAAGGGGTTCCATGTGCATTTTTCATATGTGATTTGAACGCAAATTCTTCTGAAATCAATATAATATGCTGGAAGTACATATATGTATCAACTTAAGCGAGTGGAATAGTTTTAATTGCATATTTATGTGCTGTCTTACCTTTATTAGAAGAATGCTTCTGGGGTAAAATATACATATATTTTTAGTAATGCCAAAAATATTCTATTCTTGAATACGGCCATGTAGTTTATATAATTACAAGAGTTCGGATATATTAACATAAATTATCATTTATCATTGTTTTTCTATTCAAATTAGAATTATTTTTTATCACAAAATCAACTTATTAATTAAGTTCTTTGCTTCACGGTCTATTTTTTGATTTAAGTTTGGTTTACAGAAATATTTTACTATTTAAAATGGATTATATTTATATTATAATAATTGTATAATTCATATGAATATTAGTGCAAACTTCTAAGGAGTACGAATATTTCACACTCAGAGACACTAAATAGACAAATGCTTTCAATTACTTAAACGATGTCCTTAACTACATTATTACTCATACGCAGTGTGGGCTTTGTCCAAGTATTTGTGTATATCGTTGCAGTCCTGAAGCTTTAATATTATTCTAAAAAAAATAAATCCTATTTACTGTACTCTGTGATAAGAAATGCTAATAAAAAATCCCTCATGCAGACAGACAAAATCAAAGCAAATTTATTTAAAAAACTGTAAATCAGTAGCTTTTCATTACGCACTCAAGTGGTCTATAAACTGTTCCCATCATCTCCTCAACAATTGTGATTAGTTCAAGAGCAGGTCGAAGCAAAGATTCCAATGGAGATATGTAACTAATGTCGTGTCGCAGAAATGAGCTCCTAGATACCGGGAAACGCCAATGAGCGATCAATATGAGCCGTGGCATTCATTCCTCCCTGCCTTGCCATGCGTTTAAATTAAAAAACAATTAGAGACAAAGAAGGCTCGCAATCAGCAGCTGATAATCCGAATTCCGACCAAACTGTCATGTCAAAAAAATATACCGAGTTATATATATATACAATATATATATAGAGGGTCCGCTGACCAGGCTCCGATTAGAGAATATAAGGCAGTCCATTGTGGCCGGGTCCGCTAGTTTCACTTTCGACGTCCAACGCTGTTGAGCCGGGAGCTAACCCCAAAAACTTAAGGATGAAAGGTGCGTGCTTTACCCGAGAGACCTTAGAATCTTATCTAATTTTAATTGCGATACTTACGGCCTGTCGACGGCGGCGGCTTATCTGGTTGACAATTTTTAATTAACCGCTCTGACGAGAGCCCGGGGATGGGCCAACTATAAAAACGCAGAGCCTGCGATCGAAAGGGTTAGTACCGGAATTGGAACGTTCGCTTCAGTCGATTCTGCCAAGCGAATTAGTCACTATAAAACCAGGCCCAAGATGAGAGGTATGTAGGTGCAGGCCTCGGCCTCCGAAGATGGATCTATAACGCAGAGAAAGTTACCAGAAAGGTTTTACGAAGGCTTTTCAAAGTCTTTTTAGCAACAAATTACTAATATTGTTTTCACTTGGGGCTTAGTAAATTCAGCCAAAGTAAATAACCTTTAGGGAGGTCAGAAATATGATTAATGAATAGTTAAACGCTTTAAAGTCTATAAAATATGTATTCTAAATCCAATCCAAAGTTTTAAAAGAATATACATTTAGGGTAAACGACATCTTTATAATAAAGTTGGAATATGGTTTCAATAAAACATCATTAAGTGGGGTTTTGATTTAAATTTCTTAAATATTTTAACACCTTTTGAGGGTAGAGTCAGTAAGATTTAAGAACTAAAAATATTAAATATCCAATAATTAATTTTTGATTGATAAAAACACTTTACATTTAAAATCTAATCTGGTTTTGTGTGGATACTAATTTGTTGTATATAATTCCTTTACTCGCCAGGTTTCGATACGAGGATCTGTGCCCTAGTGGCCTGTCTTCTGCTGGCATCGCAGGCCAGCGGCTACACGATGGAGCAGATGTGTGCCCAGTGGTCGGGCACTGGATACGTGGGCAATCCGACCAACTGCCGTGCCTGGGGCTACTGCCAGGGCCAGAAGCTGGTCGGCTGGGGCACCTGTCCCGACGACTATATTTTCAACTCGCAGAAGGGTATCTGCGACTATCCCTACAGGACGGTCTGTGCCACCAGTGCCGTTCAGACATGCACGGCGGCCACCTCGCCCATGTATGTGGCCGATCCGAGCAACTGCACCCAGTATGGCTATTGTGACGGCAAGGGCTCCATCTCTTACGGCGACTGCGGTGTCGGCGGCGTCTACTCGGCCAGCAGCAGGTCATGCGTGTGGGGACCGGCCTGTCCGCAGAGCACCATCTGCCAGTTCATGTTGTCGGACATCTATGTGGGCGATCCGGACAACTGTGGCTCCTGGCTGAGCTGCAACAATGGCTATGGCACCCCGGGAACTTGTGGCTCCGGCCTGACCTATAACTTGGTCACCGGTAACTGCCAGAAGACGAATACGTGCAACGGAAATACCGATAGTGGTTCCTCCAACGGACAGTTCACCGTCGGAGATACAAGTTCTACCATCTGTAAAGATAAAACCAACGGATATGAAGCAGCACCTGCATTAACTGGCAAGTCCTATAGGTTCGTTAGCGATTTGACCACCTGCTATGGCTTCTACTACTGTGAGTCGGCTACTGCAGTTGGCGTTTGGAACCAGTGTCCCACCGGCACCCACTTCGATCCCACCATAGGCAAGTGCGTGTCGCCAGCCGCTTACGCTTGTCCCTACAACCGATGCGGCAACGTGAACTCCGTGTTCATGACCCGTTTGGGTACATCCTGCGAGGGCTACACGGTGTGCGCCAGCGGCGGAATTGGCTCCTGCCCCACCAAGAATCCTTACTACGACGAGGTCTACGACATTTGCACTGCCACCGCGCCTGGTTTCGCCATTTGCTCATAAGTTGTGTTTTCAACTATGTCAATTCCCCGTTAACCGGATGATAAATGAAATATCAATTAAAATAATAAATAACTTTGAGATAAGGGAAGGCTTTAAAAATCAATAAAAAAAAATTACGTTGGCTTCGACTAATCGGGATTCGCTTAAATAGGTTCATTAATTCTGTGGTTAATGGTTTCAATAAAAATATAACTAAGAGCTTTGAAAATAACAAAACTTAAACACTTTACGTTAAGAGAAATATCATTTAATAAGATAAATTAAAACATTGATTTTTAAATAATTTTAATAACTTTTAATTTTTGTAGACTTATTGTATTTTAGTTTAGTGGAGCTATTTCCTGACAATTATTAATTCTTTTCTAATGAAAATTAGAATTGTTAAATTTAAAAAAAATAGTAATTGTCTAATAATACACTTAAAATCAATTAGTAAGCATACAGTCATCACTTACTTATTAATATAAAGTGTTTTACAGGGGATTATCTTCTCTTAAACTAATTTTAAATCTTAATCGATATGGCCCTTACAGTCCCTATTTTTGAAGGACTAGAAATTAATTCACAAAGGAAGATCCCAATTTCAGGATTTCAGGCGTTTCTTGACTTTTTCATACATTTTTTTAAAGTATGTACATAATTAAATAAAGAAGTTTAAGCTTTGAAACTAATTATAAGGAAAATGAATGTCAGAATGAATATGAAATAGAATCTAGAATTTTGATGGATACAAAACATTCAATGAATCTTTTAAGATCTTTAACTTTCTGAGGTTCTAAAACTTAAATACTAGTAAAAAGTAATAAAAGGTATTAATGAATATGTATTATCCTATATATTTGATATTCTCTGGAGCTTAAAATTATTATAATACATATATTTTTCAAGCAATATTTATTCTTGAGCTTCGACTGTTTTATAGATGATATTTACAGGACGTGTACTTATAGAAACAAAAGAAATGTTGCTTTAATTTCATCTCTTCAACACCTTTAAAAATTGTTGCAAACTATTATTAAAGCCACAGAAAGCAATAAATATTTGATTCATGACTCAATGAGAATAAAAAACTGGGGAAGACGGCCATAAAAAATCAAATTGATATCACAAATAAACAAAAACATGTCAATAAGGCGGGGAATTCGATCTGTGGGCTCCTCGGATGTTCGAGAAGCCACCAGCAGCGCTTGACAGCCACTTTCAATGTCATCGCAGCGGATCCCATCGCAACATCTGCAATTTCCCTATCGACGGGTGGGGCCATTGATCGGCGCGATACCACCAGGAGGAGTCTCTTCTGCGAACGAGACAACGACAACGATGTTATTGCCGTGTAATTTACATTCGGCCCCGCTATCGTACATCAGAAAACCAGCGCTATCTCCGGGTTCTGATTGAGATAGTTGCGCTGACAAGGGGTTCCTGGGGCATGTGCATTTTGGAAATTGTTTTTCGGCGAACAAAAACGAGCAGAAAGGCCGTTGCATATTTAAAGGGCGGCAGCATCCGACGCTGCAGTATCAGTTTTGTTGTGGTTGCTGCCACCGTGAGATCGCAACGGAACGCTTCAGACACCAGGATATATATTAATTGAAGGATATACACCATGATGAGAGGTATTTGGACAGAATAGGATATTAGGATACTTTTATACTTCATAGTGCTTGGTTACGATTATTCTTAAATTGCACAGACTTTTGAAAAAATCCTTAATTCGAGTATTATTTTTAACTATATAATACAAGGATAGGAGCAAGTTTTGTTCCTAATCAGTTGTGACTTAAAACCAAGTTTCCTGTATTTTCTGTAATAAATTAATAAAAAATTATTATCTAAAATCTTGTAAATTCAACAAAATAATTTAATTGGATTTGTTGCTTTGATAACACTTAAACTTATATTCCTTATCACTTACCTTCGATCTTGCAGCCAGCGGTATCCTGTCGCTGCTGTTTGTGGCCAGCGCCTTGGGCGGCGTGATCGAGGACTTTGAGTACCTGTCGGTGGAGGATATGTGCGGACTGCTGCCGCAGGACACGAGCCTGTTGCGTCCCAGCACCTGCGACAACTGGGTACGGTGCCCCAACAGCCTGGAGGCTGCCGTGGAGCAGGGAGCCTGCGCTTCCGGTCTCTACTACGACAAGGACCTTGGTCGCTGCATCTTAGCTTCGAGTGCCAAGTGCCCCTACAAGGGCCTAGGTGCTACGGAGCAAGCGAAGAACTATTGCGCCAACGAGACGGACGGCTCCTTCGTGGTGGACCCCAGCAGCAGCGACTGCCGCGGCTACATCCTGTGCAAGAACGGCAAGCAGATCCGGGCCAACTGTCCCAATGAGCTGATCTTCCAGCCCACGTCCAGGTCCTGCGTGTACGAGACCCAGTACCACTGTCCGAAGAGCTCCACCAAGCGAAGCGATCCCGCCTGCCGCTCGCTGCCCAACAACACGCGCCTGGCCGATCCCGTCCATTGCGACCAGTACTACGAGTGCGTCAGCGATCTCCTGCACATCCGGTCCTGCCCAGCTCTGAGTGCCTACGATGCTGCTCTGGGTTACTGCGTGAATGTGTCTGAGGTGGCCTGCTACGAGACGGCCGCTCTGCCGGAGCCGGAGAACACCTTCTGCTTGGACGAAGCCACCGGATCCGCCCGCGTTGGCTACTTCGCCGACGATCTGTCCTGCGCCCACTACTACATCTGCAACAAACCCAAGGCCGGCAAGCACGACACGGAGCCCAGGCACCTGAGCTGCCCGCTGGGCCAGTACTTTGACTTCGAGAAGCTATCCTGCCGCGACCGCCTCAACGTGCGTTGCCAGCTGGACAGGTGCGTGGGCACCAACCTGACCTACGTGAACGTTGCGGGCGACTGTCAGAGCTATGGACGTTGCTCCGGTGGAGCGACCGTCAGCACCGGCCTTTGCCCGTCCGGCTATTACTTTGACGAGCGCAACCAAGGGTGCTCGTTGACCAACTACCACTACATCGCCTGCTCCGCCTAGGCCATGCACATCCACACCAACACCCAAACCCACACTCACTTCCAATTCCAATTAAAAATCAAATTTAAAACACTAATAAATCGATCCAAGTCATGGTGGAGGTCAAATGCATTGTAAGCTCGGTATTATTATGTTTCATTGGCGGGTCATTACTTATATTTTTTTAGTAAGACAGAGCTTTAGAAATGCTAAATATGTAACAAAATGTAATATTTGTTTAATGTAATTATGATTTATTTTATTACATTTAAAAATAAAATGAAAACAAAAAAGAAAAGAAATACTGATGGTAATGTTTTTTTAAAGAAAATGTTAAGAAGTCCTTCATCTAAAGTCCTTTGTTTATTTATTAAAAATATTTAAACATTTAAAAATGATGGAACGGAAATGTTTATTAGGGTAATCGAAAATGGGCGATAAAATTCTTGGCAACCCTTCTTCTTTGCTATCAAAACTCGCCACACACACTCTGAAATTTGTTGTTTTTGGCAATCTGTTTTCTTGACAGTTTGAGTACCGAAAAGTATTATCAGTTTTAATTAAAAGAGTACCCCAGGTGCCGGGTTCGTAGAATTCGACACCGATTCTAGATAGTCCATCGATAACAGATTTTCCATTCGCCGATCGCTTATTTCCGCATTTGCTTTGCGACGAACAACAGGTATCCAACATGCAAGACCAGTTTATATTTATTGAAAAAGTATTGGTTTGTGTTGAAACCACACCCTGCGTATGAGTGATTTATTTTTATAATATCTTACTAGGGGACGAACAAGAGGTCTCCAACATGCAAGAGCAAGTTATATATTGAAACAGATATTCAAATATTTATTTATAATAAAAACTTGGTAGGAAAATAAAAAAATCAAGCTGTATTTAAAATACACCCGGCGTATGAGTGATAAAATGGATTATACATTAATTTAATTATGTTTAATAATAATAATAATATAATTATTAAGAGATGATCAACAGGTCTACAAAATTCAAGAGCAGGTTTTTTTTGAAAATAAGTATTCAAACATTTATTTATAATAAAATCAAAAAGTAGAAAATAGAAATTTAAGTTGTATTGAAAACACACCTGGCGTATGAGTCATAAAATGCTTTATAAATGTGTGCTTATTTTAAATATTGATAAGCAGCCCGTCAGTGTTTGTATGTAAATAATTTCAAGATTAATTTTACAATGGTATAATTAAAATTATAAACAATGCAATAAATCATCTTTAAAATAAAATATTTTTGATATTTCTCCTTGATTTTTTCAATGCCTACTGTAGTATATATATATATTTATTATATTATTTTTATATATGGTATATATTACATTCTTAAATGGTTTAAAAATGGCTCTTCACCGCGACCATTGAGATCTGACATCCTGTTGAATAAGAAAATGTTGCATACCTCAGGGGTTTCAAAGTTCAAACCGCTTTTGAACCTGCTTCAACTCTCTAGAGTCTAGAACATAGTTAATGCCTATTTATATTATATATTTCTAATTTTATATGCCTGTAATATGCCCTAGTCTTTCTCTATTTTCCATACTGCAAGGGCGACTTGACCTTGTTCGGTCTCTCAAATTTTATAGTTCTCGAGATAGCGGCACAATTTGATTTGATTTGTTGGGTTCGTACTTTTCCATTCAGCAATTCTATTACCATGCTGCCGTCTTGGGTTTCCCCAACTAACCGAGAGCGTCACATGAATGGGGGTGATATATATAAGAGGCAGTGCCCTCACACTTTCCCCCAAAAAGATGTTCTTGAGTATGACATCATGGCTGTAGCGACCTATCGTGCCTTGTTTTCCCCCAATCGTTTCAAGGAAATCTAAGCCAAGCAGCGATCTGGTAACTTAATGGTTACTACCACTGATAGCAGCGCCTACATGGTGTACTTATATTTATTGCGGCAAGTGTCTAATTAAAAGTGATTGCGTTCAGGGCTCACGAGACCGAGCGGGTGGTGGTGCTATCATCACTCACCGCCGTCCGCTGCTCGATGGTCGTCGCCTCCGAAATTTCGCAGGCGGGAAAAGATACGGCCTCCGCTGTGCAGCGCTGTGTCAGCTCGTCGAAGTACTCATCCTGCGGACAGGTGCCCTGTCCAATCGTGACGCCGTCCTGGCAGATAGCATACCCGCGGCATCCGTCATCCGACTCGTTGGCCAGTTGAATGGTGCTGTTGCCTAGGCCGGCACATCGATCGTATTCACACTTCACCTTGGAGCGGGGCACACAGGCTCCGCCATCGGTGGCCACAAAAAACCTTTCGTTAGAGCACTCTCCATGCTCCAAGGCTATCTCTCCACTTTCCATTGCCCGGCAGTAATAGTAACCATTGCAGGTTTTGTTATCGGAAATAAAAACTCCCGCATCGGGACATACTCCCTCTGAGGCAATATCCGGCACTGGGGTGGCGGCGCACTCCACATCCTCTGGATAATCGCACTTGGCCGTCGAGGCACTGAAGTAGAAAGTGCCCGGGCAGGTGCCATTTATCACCTGCGAGTCCCAGCACATCTGCCAGCCATTGCAGTTTGTGGTGTCCTTGATGAAAACGCCGTCCGGCAGAATGTTGCAGTAGCTGTCCGGATCCATCTTCTTGGGACATGGGAAATTTCTAATGCAGTCCTCCGTTCCCGGATTGAAGTTCATTCCCTGGTTGCAGACACCGTGCGTTCCCTTTCCGTTTTGGCAGTAGTAATAGCCATTGCAGGAGTAAGGATCTTCCGTGAAACCGTTGGACACCGCTGCACAGGGATCGCTGGACAGACACTTGACGCTATCGGAGCTGAGGCACTCCTCGCTTTCCCTGTCATAAAAGAGTCCAGCGTCGCAGGTCCCACTCACCGGCTGTCCATCGATGCACTGAATCCAAGCATTGCAGGCTCGCGGATCGTTCATCTTGGTTCCACTGACCACCAGAGAGCAGATTACAGAGGGGTCAAAGGTGGCGGAGCTTAGGGAAATCATGGCTAGGCCAAAAAGCAACAGAACCCCAGTAGCTGTTTTCAAAATATATATATTAATAAACTTAAAAGAAAATATATATTTAGATGTGGCTACTTACTCATCCTGCTTTGAGTATATACAACTTTTAAATAAATAAAATTAAATATTATTTCCAGCCTTCAGCGGCAACCGGCCGTAAGAACGTCTAACTGGGCGCCGTCCAACTTTAACATTAAATATATACCCGAAGACAACACTCCACATTGCGTGTTGCTTTGGGCCATTCCAAAAGGTCTATAAATTTGGCAGCATTACCTTAGAGCCACAACTGTCGTCAGTGGCTAAAAGCGGGGCATAGTGAATTCATATTTCGGTTTTATCACTTTTTGTTAAAGCCAAATTTGACAAGTGATAAATTTGGTCACCGGCACTGCGCAGCACAATTAAAATTGTTTATTTTTTTAGGCAATAAGATAAGCAATATTCAAAACTATGGAGAAATGTATCAACTTGTTGTTTTTAACAATATTTGGGTATACATTTTATAGAAATATTAACACCTTTTAGCTGATTTCTAAATTATAAATAATAAAGCAAATTATTCTCTTTATCTTCAAAGTCCGAAGCTGATAAGAGTGCTGCATACGACATAATGGTATTAATAGACTGCGATGACCAATTTCTTCTAGAATAAATATGATTTTGGAATTTGAACGCTTCCATTAATATAAAAATTAACAATAAATTTTAGATCTTGAATGGAAATCTAATCCATTATTTAATTTATGAAAGCCTATTGACTTTTAGTGTAATTTCAATTAGGTAAAAAAGCAACTTGTAATTCAATTGAGAGCTTGTTAAGATTATTCTAATCTTTTGTGGTTAATAATCTGAGTTGTCAAACTATAATCTAAAGTATTAGGTAAAGATTTTTGTTGATTTATTTAGATTTATTCCGTAAAATTAAAATTAAGTACAATTATTTAATCCTTACAAAAATATATGTATGGCTACAAGTTATCACTGTAAAGATAAATAAATCTGCGTCAGCTTATTAAGTTTTATAGCTTCCGATAATAATGATAGTCAAACAATATCCAATTTTTTCTATGCTAAGTTTGTACTTTTCCATTTGAGCATTTTTATTAGCCAGCTGCTTTCAATTGCTTCCCAAATGTCTGCTGATTTCACCTCCATCAATATGAATGGGGCCATAAGCAGCTGAACAATATGAGTTTTTTTGAGTATGACATCATGGTAACATTCTATGTCCTCCAATCGATTCAAAGAAATCTAAGCCAAGCCAAGTGATCTGGTAACTTAATCGTTGTTGCGAATGATAACAACGCCTGATGGGCTCATACTTATTGCGGCAACTACGAGAGAGAGCCAAGGGTCTAATTAAAACTGATTACGCTCGAGGGTCACGAGACCATTATTTTTTGTAGATAATGATGGCACACTATCGACTTCCGATCAGGGATCGATAAATATAGAGTGGGAAGAGACCACACTTACGCCTTGAAGGGTCTATAAATTTTGCATACACTACCTTAGAGTCGAAACTGTCGTAAGTGTCTAAAATCGGAGCATAAACAAAAAATTTATTGGCTTCTTTTATCAAAATTTTGTAAAGCCTACTTTGACAGGTGATAAGTTGGGTTTGGTGGCAAAAGTGCAAAGTGCAGAGGTAAGAAGATTGATTCGAGGCATTGTCTTATTTCTATAATTAAATATTAAATATCTACGGCCAAAGTTGATAATTTAGCTAATCACGAAATTATTTTATTTATAAAATGCAATGACTAATTTCAGGAATACGCCTATTTGTGAAATTTGAGGACTATAATTGAAGTTTTTAGATTACTGCTTTTAACAACATTATAATCCATAAAAGTCAACTGAGTCACAGTTTTGGAAAATTCGATAAGGGTAATAAACAAAATCGAAAAGCTATTAAATAATACTTAAGATTATTTTAATCTTTCGTTTATTATCTGATTTTTGGAAAATAAATCTAATATAAGTATATTTCTTAGAAAAAGGTGGTTTACTTTTAAATTGAAAGAATTTTTGTTGGTACATTTAATCTTATCATATTTTCTTTTATAAACATTTTTTGGTAACTTCTTTTAATTGATTTATTGTCTTTTTTAGAGAGCAAGGGTTAGGTTTTTGTTGAACATTTAATGAAAGTGAATTCTAACACATCAATATTTTATAAATTATTTAAGCTACAGCTTCCTATGTTTAAAGGTCTTTTAAGTTAAAATATTATATTATTATGTTAATAATTGCTCTATTAACTGAATGTAACTCCACTTTCTGCTAAAAAGTTCCCAGAATTCTGGGGAAATGCTCATGGCACTACCTTGTTGACCAGCTGTCCGAAGAGTAGCCATCGATCATGCAAAAATAGAAATTATTCCAGCCCGTGGTGGCCAAAAAATCCCATACATCACCAGGTCAAAGACGTGTCGTCGATCAATTCGGACATCCAAGTGGATCGCAGATAAGGATACGGCCGGGCTCCAAATAAAAGCCCAGGGAAGGCCGCCACCAAAGAACAGTATTCAACTAGGAGCTACTAGAAACCAAACAGCAGAATAATGGGTGGGTGTCCAACTGAATCTTCCAGAAAAATATGAAAAAATAATATTGTATATGCATTATTTCCAGGTGGACTTAAAGGATCCATCATTGCCGCCATGGCGCTGCTGCTCGCCTGTGCCGCCCCTGCTTCCGCCGATGTAAATGTGACCGCCTTGTGCCTGCTGGTCAACAATGGCGTCTACGTGGCCAGCCAGACGGACTGCACCACGTACTACCAGTGCCTGGGATCGGGTCCCACGGCCATGTCCTGCCCCACCGGCTATTACTTCGACAAGAATGCGCAGCAGTGTTCGGCCTCCGTTCCGAGCACTTGCACAATCAGCAGCAATCCCTGCGAGGGCAAGGCGGTCGGCACCTTCGCTCCCTCCAGTGCCTCCTGCGGCGGTTACTACTATTGCGGCGCCTCCGGAGCGTTGAGCGGTCGCTGTCCCAGCGGCGAAAACTTCAACCCCACGACCATGGCCTGCGTGTACTCGAACCAGTACCCCTGCCAGGAGTCTGCCGCCACCGAAAACGGCAGTGGAGGCACCGTCACCTCCTCCGTGGCTCTCAATCTGTGCAATCTCGTTGAGAATGGCATCTATTTCGGAAGCCCCAGCAGCTGCTCCGGCTGGAATTATTGCCAGGATAACGTCCTGCACTCGGGCACCTGCGATACTGGATATGTTTTCAACGTTCAGCAGAAGAACTGCGGCTACCAGCAGTCCACCTCCTGCTCCCAGGTCACCAACGATCCCTCGCTGACGGGCACCGAGGTACCGACCACCTGCACCCAGTCGGGCTCCGTGAAGGCGGCCACCGCCTGCAATCAGTACTACCAGTGCACGCCGAGCCTCAACTACCAGCTTATGACCTGCCAGACGGGCTACTTCTTTGACACCATCTCGCAGGTGTGCGTGGTGAGGACGCAGGCGAGGAACGACTGCGATCGGTGTGTCGGCACAACGGCCACCTTCGTGAACGCCTATTCGACCAGCAACTGCTCCGATTACCTGTACTGCGTTAATGGAGTTCAAAAGGCCGTGGAGACCTGTCCCATTAATTACTATTTCAACGAGAATACAGGCAGTTGCTCCAACTCCGTGGAACCGCAGTTCCTGTGCTGCAATCCCACGGGAAGCACTGGCCAGGCCACCACCAGCGGAACCACCAGCGGAACCACCGCCAGCGGCACCACTGCCAGCGGCACCACCAGCGGCACCACCGCTGGAACTACCGCCGGAACCACAGCCAAGCCGGATGCCACCACCGGCACCACCGCTACCACGGCCGCGAAATAGTTCGAACAGTTTTATATTTTATGTACTGTAACATATATCCTTGCAATCAAATAAAGAACAAAAATACAAGAAGATGTAATAAACTGCAGAGAAAGGTGATTCAGTCTCCACTACTAGAGTCTCTTCTGATATTCTAGCCTTTATGTACATAAATAAGTCCTTAAAATGATATTGATTGAATAAAATCTGATCTAAAGTCACCTCCTTAGGAATCTTCTCTTCTAGATCCATTTTGAAATAGAAATCCAGCTGCTATACTTGTTAACATTTTATTATATTATAATATTGTTACCAGAAAAAGGTACAGTAGTGTATTTATTTTACACACATTTTAAATAAAACTTTCCTAAAGGACATCTGGCTTTTCTAATATGTATTCTTACACTGCTACTTAGAAGATATTTTTGCTAAGCAAAATAAGTATAATTTACTAATTCGAACCTAAATGATAATGTATTAACACCTTAATTGTAAACTAACTTATACGTATCACAATTTATAGCTTAGAATTCTAGGATCTCCCCCCTCAGAAATTAAACTAAATAAAGCTACCCCTCCTATAAAATCCCAACCTTGACAGTTAAATGAACTCAACAGGAAAATGTTGTGGTAGCTTTCAAGGAATATCTTTTAGACCAACGATAAAGTTGTCGCCGTACACATTGTGGTTACTTCTTTTAATTATTAAGTTGCGGAACAGATATAAATGAACAGCGATAGTGTCTGGCATTGGTGGCCCAAAAGCTTAAATTTAATTAAAGTTGGTAAGTTAACCAACAGACAAGATGTTACCCGCGTATCAGGCCGAATAAATATAAAATTTAATCATGTTCTTTATGTGTGTCTGCAATTCCTGAGAAGCGCGAGCTTATCTGCGGCCAATTTACGATCTAGATGGCCAAGTTTGAGGGGCAGGCCTATAAAAACCAGGCGCTGGAAAACCTACGACATCAGTCTTCGGCAACCTTTCGTTGGCCAATACAAGTTCCCGAGTTATCCGTTATTAACCAATAGCAATGACAGGCAAGTGTTTGAGGCCGATCCGATCTCCGAAATCCGCGGCTTTTGCTAACCTGGGAATTGTGATTTGCAGGAAAACTCCTTCTGGCAACGGTCCTGTGCCTGATGGGCGGCAGCGCCCTGGGCGACCAGATTCTCGAGGGCAACTACAACGTCACTGCTTTCTGCACCTCCGTTAAACCCGGAACCCAGCTGGGCAGCATTACGTCCTGCAACTACTACTACGTCTGCTCGAGCACCGGACCCGTTCTCACCCAGTGCCAGAGCGGCTATGCCTACGACTATGCCAAGAGCACCTGTGCTCCGGAGGGCCAGGTGAGCTGCTTCTGGGGCGTTGAGAACCCGTGCGCCGGCCAGAACGGCACCTGGGTGCCCAACACCGCCGTCTGCGGTGGCTACTTCTGGTGCTTGAACGGCGCTAAGGCAGGATCCGGCAATTGCAAGACTAACCAGAAGTTTGATTCGAGCTCAAGGCAGTGCGTCTGGGGTAGCTGCAACAGCAATCTGGTCGAGAGCGATGAGCCAAACCTAAGCAGCCTGTGCGAGGTGGTGCCACCCGGCGTCTACTTCGGCGATACTGAGAACTGCAACATGTGGAACTACTGCCTCAGCTCCAGCACTGGTGTCACCTTGATGACCGGCACTTGCACGGCGAATTCCAAGACTGTGAGTAATCTACCATTTTTTAAATTAAGACTTGAGGGGAGTAGATAGATTCAAGTTTAATACGATGTCTCAAACATTTTGTCGATTTACCAAACCACTTACCCTAAAGTATGCTACTCTACTTAGATGATATTATCCTTTAGCTACGATCAAACTGGGTCACTAATTGATCTTGCCTTCCTCTGATAGGCCTTCAACGTTAACACCGGAAATTGCGACTACGTCTCCACGAGCGTTTGCAGCCGTGTGACCGACAACCCGCTGAGCCAAGTCGCCGGCAGTTGCACAACGTCTGGCGCCGTAAAGCCCGACGCCACTGTTTGCGGACAGTACTATCAGTGCAAGAACCAACAGTGGGTCGGAGTGGCCTGCCCCACCAACTACTACTTCGATCTGACCTCTAACCTCTGCCAGCCGCGCCAGACGGCAACTCCAGTTGCGGGCTGCAATCGTTGCCAATATGCCGACACGAAGTGGGTGAACGCCGTCGATGACAGTAACTGCGCCAACTACTATTTCTGCAACAGCAACGGCATTGGCAGCCCGGTCTCGTGCCCCACCTCCTACTACTTTAACGAGCAGATCCAGGGTTGCGTCTCCGACGACACACTGTCCACCTACGCATCCACCAACGGTGCCTGCAAGGGAGCCACCGCCGCTGATAATACTAGTACAACGGTTAAGGACGATGACGCTGGCACTGGCGGCGACACTGGCACCGGTGGCGATGATGACACTGGTACCGGTGGCGATGATGACACTGGTACCGGTGGCGATGATGACACTGGTACCGGTGGCGATGATGACACTGGCACCGGTGACGATGATGACACTGGCACTGGCACCGAGGACGACGATGCGGCTGGCAAAGCAATTAAGCACTAAGCGAGGAGGCTGCTCCAGCAGGTACGGAAATGGAACTCAACACAGGACAATGTGCAAAGAAAATAATACCCTTAAATCTATATATTTTTACCATGTAGTATTCAGTTTATATAAATCGCAATAAATCGATGTTCGCAAGCAAATGATTTGATTGTTTCTGATAAGTGAGCAAAGCCCTATTTCGATAACGAGTTAGGAAACACCCCAGAAAATAGAAAGCGTGAAAGAAAAAGAAAACAAGTCAATAAATTGTGTTCATAAGCAAATGACACGATTACCTATAATTGGGGTCTTAGGGAAACTCCAGTTAATTGATTGCAAATGGCTTTTGTACCCTCACCAATTTTAGAAAAGAAATGAATATTTGTGATGATTAATTTATTTAAATATGTGGCATTATCAGTGGTCGATCTGCCAGATATTTTTAGAAATGAACATGTAGTTTTGTCCACACTTGCTTCTTTTATAGAACCTTATCTTAGGGAATTCTTTAAAAAAACAGCAGAACATTCAAATATCACTGATTGCAAACACAACTTTTCGATTAGCCTTTGACAATAAGGGGCACACCCCTGGGATCGACCTTATAAAAGGGTAGGCAATTAAAGGCCCGAACCACTAGCATAGGAATTTTGGAGAAGCAAAGAACCAGCATCAGATTGAAACTTAAGCAAGACATCACTACCATGCAATGCTCCTGGGCATTAGTTTTGGGACTGAGCATCGGCTTCCACTTGGGAGCGGGTCACTCCGTGGACAGAAGTTGGGAACTGCCAAAAGTTCGGGTTACCGTGGGTGATATTAGCCATGTGAGTATGAAAATAAAACACGTATTTCTATGATTTAAGCTTAAAAATAATAATAGTCGAAGTTTTGTTGAAATTTTTTAATTTGTATTAATAATATTCTTAGAACTATATTTTGTTCATAATGTTTTTTATCCATCTGATGCCTCTTAAACTAGTTGGAAATTTTAGAGCTTAAGAAGTGCCCGTGCTTTGAGCGGAAATTCTTATTCTTTTTTTTCTGCACACTTAAATAAAAACATTTTTCTATATTTAAAAAAATCCCCCTAGAAATTCCCAACTTGTTCTGGCACCCCTGGAATGGAATTTTTGTTATAACATTCATATGTGCTATTGAATATTTAGATATTCTATAAAGAACACTGTATTAAGGAATATTTTATTAAATTAAAGGGCTTATTCCCTCTTTTAGATCTGCGTAGGCAGGCAGGAGGGCGAGCTGGTGTCCCATCCGTTAGACTGCAATGGCTACTTTTCGTGCTCGCGTGTACCCACGTTGCTTTATTGCAACCAGGGACTCCACTTCGATAGCGAGCGTAGGATCTGCGATATTCCAGAGAAAGCCAAGTGCCGGCCACGCGATACTAGTAGCAACGAGCTAAACTGGTGGTCGTCTCACAAGCCGCGTCCCGTCTTCGTGGCCGTTGATGTGGTTAGTGGCCAGCCGGTGAATCCCATGGAGAAGTACGATCCGGAGCATATGGAATGCCGGCACTACGGAGCCTACTTCCTGCCCCATCCCACAAATTGCCGGCTGTACTTCATCTGCGCCTACGGCCACCTGCACCGTCATCAGTGTGGGCATGGCACCTGGTGGAACTTTGAGGTGTCCGAGTGTCAATTGGGCAATGAGGTCGTGTGCTACGGCGACTCTCGAGTTCCAGAGCTCCTAACGGATATACAGACGCCGTTCATTGAGGGCACCACCACACCCAGCAGCGATGCTCCTGTGACCGTCTGCTACATCGTCGGATCAAGTGGAATCAGCACCTTGCCGCAATTCACGGGAATGGAACCAGAGGTCAGCGAAGTCACTGTAGCCGTAGAAGTGACTCCGGCGACGGCAGCTTCACCGCCGCGTGCCGAGTCCACCACTGCCCTGACCTGTCCATCTACCATGCAGAGCTACATGTCGCATCCGGAGGACTGCAGCAAATACTACATTTGCATCAGCGGCATGCCGGTGCTGACCTCCTGTCCCAAGGGCCTCTTCTGGGACCAGAAGTCCGGCTACTGCGACATGGAGAAGAAAGTCAAGTGCTTCCAGAAGTGATTAATAAACAGCAGCTACAGTTCGTTTAATGGAGTTTCATTTTAAACAATTTTAATATTAACAATTTGGGAAGTGTTCTTACGAAAACTATTTAAATTTATTTAAAATCTGGCGCTTAAGAGTAGACTATATAATTTAATAGTTGTTCAGAGTTTGCACATAGCCAACAACAATAATTCAACGAATAGCTCTTTTACAATATTTATTAAAATTTTATTAAATATATATTTTATTTATATTTCTCAAGAAGTTATAAAAACCTTTTACAGACTCCTAATTAACAAATTAAACAGAAAAAACCTACAAAGATTTTCATTTGCTTTAACTTACATTCCAAATTGAACGGACAGTTTTTTTTTAATAATATTAAAAAAATATATATAATGTTTATGTATTTCACAAATCATTTAAAATTATTTTTAGAGAACTGTAGCCATAGTAAGTCTCTGCCATATAATGTTTCTTCGGTGAGCAACTTCGGGGGTTTCCTTCTCATTCTTGTCGGATCGCCAGGGATAGTCTTTTACACCACTCACAATTCGTTGCCAAAGTGTTAGGGAACTTGGCTCGGATGCTTCTCCCTTGACACCTTCAGCAGAGATGCTACTGACCAAGAGCAGCAAAAATACGCCACAAACAGCAAAGATAAATCCGTTGGTTGATCGCATTTTGAGGAAGGCATAAAAAAGACTGATCTGGTTAGATATTATCATCTTGGCTACATGTCGAAATTCTAAATCTTATCAATAGAAAATATTTGAATACGCTGGGAATTGCTTTACAGCAGATGACCCGATAAGATAGCAAGCATGAGGCATACGTTGTATAAAAGTTAAGTTCAGCCTAAAAGTGATCACCGTAAAATCTCTACAAAGGTTATTTTACAAATGTGGAGAATTGAAAAGTTTACATGTAAAATAATATAATATTTTGTAATAATATTTTAAGATTTAATAGAAACTATTCAGTCATAGAATGGTCTTAAGATAGTACGAAAAGTTTACTATAAATAAATTTTGAGTATAATTGTATTTTTTCTACAAATACCAAATCTAGCTTTTTCCGAGTTTTTCTTTTTTAACAAACTTAAACTCAGTTTTAAATGGTATTGCCTTAGTTTAGATATAGATTAAATTACTTTGTAGAAAATTGTTATCAATATAACAAATAAAATAATTAGTTAAAAAACTTGTCTAAGGGTCAAAGAAATTAATATCTTATGGAACTTTGAGTATCTATATAATGTATAGAAACTACAAACATCTTCAGATAAGAAAACAATATTTACTATTTCTAAATATTTGTACGAATTTCTGTGGTCGCTTTATTTATAGGGAAGTAAGCTCGGAAAAATCTAAATATTTGCTGAATACTGTGACTAATGTGTGTTAAACAAATTCCTTAAATGGCCATCATATTCCCAGTATTGTTTGTGAGCTAAACACACTCAATAGCATTTTACAAAACAATTTTAATTTTTTTAATAACTGCCAAAAGATATCGTTAACTTATCATAAGGTAGGTCAAGGAAAAGAGACTGCACCATGGGTCTTTTCAGGTATTGAACTTTATTCAAAAATTCATAAATGATGTCATTTCATTCCGCTTAACGAATTTTGAAAGATTGTCCCTGATCTCTGCGCACATTCATCCGATCCATTCATTCATAAATTATCCATAGATCAAGTAGGTCTGCGCGATTATGCTGCGAATATATGGTTTATATAACATATATGCTTAGCCTCATGTGTTTTCGCTTAATTTAAATTTATCTTCTAAGCGGCCGAGCTCAATTAGGGCCGGTTCTTTGCTGCTCGCAGCTCAGGCTAATCGGCGAGCTGTCGTCCAAGTAATTAATTCAGCCGTCTCTCTGTTGGCCAAACTCGTTGGTCGAACTCGGAGTCGCGTGACTCATTATATATACATATGTTATATCGCGAAATGGCGAACGGAACCAAAATTGTGTTTGGGCAAAGTAAATAAATAAAGACTTTGCTGCGATCGTCGAAAGGGGTGATTCCAATTAAAATAGGAATAATCGGCCGTTGTATTTCAATTAAGTTTACACATTTATAAAACAAACAAACGCTTATTATATTTGTGCTAATAAGATCAGTGCAAGTTATCTGTAAGATCGATGCCCTCCTGTCGATTGAGCAATTTGTATTAAATTACGGACGCTGATTAATGGACTCCCATATCAATATTGATTCAACGAAGGCTAAATTGACTCGCCCACTGTTATATTTATACATTTTACCTTGAACTCTATAGGAAGGGTATGACCTATATTTTCTAATATTGCGATTTTCCTATTTTTAGTTTTTAAGGTAATGTTGTTATGTTAAAATAGAAGGCATATCCGTGCTTAATGTGTATTTTAATTGAAAAATCATTTTTATTTCCAAAAGCTGCAACTCAATAAATACTTTAATTTATTTTGGAATTCAGACATCCTATTTTTAACACGTTCCAACTAATGGAAATAGAAATTTTAATGCGCTTTTGACCGCCACAAAAAAATTTATTTTTGAGCTGCCAAGCTAACGGCGCAAATTCAAATTGAAAGTCAAGTTCAAATCCGCTTCTGTTAGCTTGTCACGCCCTTCCTGCTGCGAATGAATTAATAAACACAGATGCGGGAGAAAATCTAAATACATTTGTGTCTCTGAAACTACAAGTAGTTTTTATGACAAGTTTCTCATTTGAATTTATATTAATTAACAAGATTCAAAGCTTTTTATATAAATTATAAATATATTTTTTAATAAGAATTTACTTATCCAATTTACAATTTTAAAGAGGATTTTAAAAATATTATTCACTTCATTTTTAAAATATTGCTTTAAAAACTAAAATAAGAATTACATGAGTAATTATTGTTGATCACGTAAAAATTTAAAACTCAAATTTTAACTTAATTTATTTGGACCTAAAATGTTTCCCATTAGTGTTTACACATAAATACCTAAATAAAGAATGTTACGTATGGGCTTAAATAACACCCTGTACGCGACAGCTGATGTCGCGCCGCCGCATTTAAAGAAGACAGGCACAAAACTTTAAGAGAGCAGGAGCAGAAGATGCACTGCGCTCTTTAGAAATGACTAATTCTCTTTGGAATTCAAAAGGCGGTTTTAGATGATCACAGTGTTGCCCACTTATGTAGATTTTTTCAGACCTTTTTTATTTTATATATATAAATCATGCAATTTAGTAGGTGGCTGATTTAATGATTTTATAAAAACAAATTTTATATATTTTTTTAAATCGGTTAGATATTTGGACAACATTTAAGTGTCCCCTTCGTCATTTATTAATACTAACTATAAAGGAAGCTAACTTCCGCACGCCGAAGTTTGTATACCCTTGCAGATTGGTTTTGATGTTTATATTATAAATGTAAATGCTGAAAAAACACACAAAACAGGGTTTCATTACATTTTACCTATATTTATTATGTTTACAGTTTGACAGTTAAAGTTTTACATTCCTAGCTTTACATTTTCCCTACATTTACCGATCGCTTCTATGGCAGCTATATAATATAGTCGTCAGATTTTCATGAAATTTTTATCGAAATTCTGAAATAATATAAAATGGCCATATCTATGGTGCGAAAATGTTGAAAAACGGCCAACTTATACTTTTTTTTTCCAAAAATTGATCGAACATTTGTATGGCAGCTATATGATATAGTCGTCCGATCCGGCCCGTTCCGACATATATAGCAGTTAGAGTATATAGAAGACTATATGCAAAGTTTCATTCAGATAGCTTCAAAACTGAGAGACGAGTTTGCGTAGAAACGGACAGACGGACGGGCGGACAGACGGACATGGCTAGATCGACTCGGCTGTTGATGCTGATCAAGAATATATGTACATATATACTTTATAGGGTCGAAAAGGTCTCCTTCACTGCAAACTTCTGACTGAAATTATAATACCCTGCAAGGGTATAAAAATAAAGACTTTAAAATAATAATAACATATTTTTATTTAAAAAGAGCATTTATTTTTATACTTGTTAAAAGTACTAGTTAGTGCTGTTTGTGAGTAAATGAAAAATAAAGCGAGAGCGGAAGAGCCATTTTGTGCTCTCTTTGGAAATGAGCAACTCTCTTTTGATTGTCGCTCTTGTTGTTTCGGCTGTGACGATCAGTCTCTTTCAAAAGCTAACACCGCGCGGAGTTCTTTTTTCCGCGTCGTTCGTAGTTTTATTTTTCCTTTATTTTGTTTTCCTTAATTTAAATTTCATTTCTTTCGCGAGTGACGACATATGGCGATCTGAGCACATAATAAACGTCGAAATAGTGCTGATTTTGTTATTGTTGTTGGCAAAGACACGCGTCGCGGTCGCGTCGCTTTTCCGCGTGTCTTTTCGCGGGCGCCATCGCCACCTGAGAATCGCATTTGGAAAGGCAACGGCAACAGCTGTGGCGCAAAAATATATGTACCCAAGTGCAAAAAGGTGTTGTTTAATAGAAATTTAATAAACGAAAAGGTAGAGTCAAATTAAAAGTGCAAAAAGGCAGAGAGAGCGGTGCGTGTGTGTTACAGTTGGAGAGAGCGCTGTTCTCTTTCTATATATTGCGCAAGCAGAAAAGAGAGCGCACTACATGCTTGTTTTTATATAAACCCCCCTTTTCCGTGTACATATAGGAATGTGCGTGAAAATATATAATTTATTAGATTATTTTTACCCGTATTAGAACCAAAAACAAAGGCGTTTCGAAGTGCAATTTCTGTGTGGCAAACAAAGATCGCTCCAAACTCCAAAAAATCGAGCAAGGCTACCCGATGTGACAGTGTTAGTGCCGAGTGTTCGTGTGTGTGTGAAGAGCGCAAGCGTCGCGTCGCAATGCGAATGTTAATGAAAAACACAAACCGATGAAAATCGACGGCAGCTAAAAAAATCACAACATTATCACAACAAACAACAATAGCAACAATAGCAGAAACACACAAACGGCAGCCACAACAACAATTCGGCAAACG